ACTGTGAAATTCAATGTTTTTAATAATATATTTTATTTCTGAAGAAAAATAATTATTCTTAGAATATTATCAATAATGTTTGTTGAAGAATAAAAATATCAATAAAAAATAATACATTTTAAAAGTTTTGCATTGTCTATTTTTCGTAGAATAATACTTAAAAGTATTTCAATTAATATTATATAATAATAATAAAATACAAACACAACCTACACAATAATTTTATCTAAAATATTATTTTATTATTTTAAAACCTATCATATTTTGAATAGATAAAATTATTTCGCTTATTTTGCTCATTTTTACGAGTATATTACGTGTACTACATGACGAACACATACCTATCAAACATTTTTTTTTCTGTTTTAGCGCATTAATTATTCATAACTTCACTTAAGACTATATGAACTGGTACAACTTTGAGTAAATAATAACGTGCGTCGTCTAACATTTTTTTATTATTATAATAAATTATAATTATTTTGAAAAAAGGACTGACTTTGAAATAAACTATTTTTAATCACTAAACATCATTATCATATAAATACACTTTATTTATCATGGTTTATATTATATACCTATGTAACATGTAAATATTATATTATGTAAGGTAAAAATAACTTATTTTTTTGACAAAAGTTATAAAAATTAACGCACACCATGAAGACATATTTATGACGATTGCGAGTGACGATTGCTATACGGTAGCGAAGGTCGACATTTATTTTAACGATTTAAATTATTTCAAACACTACCATCAAATCGATATAATGCTTCGAAATATTCATTTTTTAAATGCATAATGTTTGTTAGTACCTATATTTTACCTACAAACTGTTATGTAATTTTATGGGTGTTCTATATAGCTATGACCGTTGATTCGCAATTATACTCGTATTATACAGCACTAAAACCACCGAAAATTTCAACTTCCTTTAGTTCAGCGAATTGCACACGTGTGGTCGTCGTAACCAGCAGGTATAGCAAAATTGTAATTTGTGTTATTACACCGAGCTGCACGCGAAAAAATAATCCATTAATACACATTTACACAATTATTATATTATATTAATTATCATTCAAACAAAATTATAATACGATGCATGCACAGTACGTAATATTATCACAGATATGTATTATAAAGCAGATCGGCAGATAGGTTTACGCTTGTAAGCAAATCGTAGTATAACAGTATTGTGATCCGTGTTATTATCAATTTGATGTTACTCACAAGCTATTGCCTAAACTGTAGTTGCATATACAATACCTGATGATATTTACAATTCCTACAAAATATCGTGTACTGTACTATAGCAATTAACCGTCTAGATATTAATTTTAAAAATTTGACGTGTTTAGATGCAAAAAAAAAAATATAAATAAATGGACGGATAAAGTGTTATTTTTCTTTTTAGTTGGTGCACTTAGGCTCGAGCCACGAAGCTATAAGATCATTGCCAAATGTCAATTGTATAATATAATATTATATGTTATAAGATTTCCTCAATTCCAAATTTAAAACTGCCCAAGAAAATATCGGAAAAATCGTATCTGAGATTAGCCAGTAAGACGAAGCGAACATCTTATACTTCGTATTCATATAAACTAATAAGTAGTAACTACTAAGATATAATGGCGTACTCTATACACGGAATATAATATTGTTAACTAGTTTGATGTCATGAAACTATAACGATTATAAAACCACGCGATACCTACTATGTCCGTATTATAGGTGTAGGTAATACAATGAAATAAAAAATAATAACAATAATGTACTATGATTCGAGCAAATAATTCAGACTATATATTAAACTATAGGTAAATGACTTCAAGTATTTACATAGATTGTATAATCGTGTACAATTATACTCCCGGTTCATACACAAAAACATAATAGCTTTCATAAAAGAAAAGGTATTCTTTAAAAAAATTACTTGGGATATAATAAAACCGTTAAATATTTTGATTAAGAAACACTCCACGATTCCCATGTACCGGATCCCTGCGTGACTATTTGCAGCACTTTAAAACAAATCAAGCTGATTGAAGTAATACCATTAAATACAATAACAGTTAAAACTATTATTGACCATCGCTATTTTTGTACATTGTCTTCTGCGTGTGCGGTAACACCACGAGGTGAAAAAGAGCAAGAGCAAAAGAGCGGTACAACAGTCACGGCAATGGATGTGGTAGAAAGGGTGCGAGTGCAGTGAGGGTAGAAAAAAAGCACCGTCGCTAAGGTGAGGAAAAAAGGGATTCGATCAATTGACTCAAGGACGTTTGTGGCTGGTGTGACCCCCTTTTTCAGCCAGGCATTCATTTTAGACCAGACGACCCCGAGGCGTCTGTCAGGCGTGGGGGGCGGAGCGTGCGATCGTCGCGCGAGGATGCATTACACGAAGTGGTCAATCGTCTAATTTTGTCGAATAAAATGTGCATCATGTATATAATATATCCATATAATAATATTCACCGTTCGGATCATAATAATAATGAAAAATAGCGTTAGTATCCACCTTATTTCAATAATTCGAACAGTAGTCATCGTCGTCGTTGCCATCGTCGTCTCCACCAGTTTTCGTCCGGTTCTATTTCCGGCCTTTTATCGTATGATGGTGATTTGATTGGATTTTACTAGCTAATGGGTAATATGATAATAAATACTTCAGCTATACCTACTCGGTCATTTTTCATCGACAGAGCACAACCAAAATACACAATTTGTCAGCTACAATATTATAAGAATAATATAACAAAATCCCAAAGTTTATACATAGACTAGTGGTTATAATTATATACTAAAAACTTATTAAATACGTACGTTTAACACTCAACGATACTCGGAATAAATACCTAACTGTAAAATTAAGTGTACATTTCAATAACGTACCCGGAAAACTCGACCGCTATTTTCGGTATTTGCTGAATTATATCCATATACCTACATGATATATACAGATTGATTCATCAATTATGCTCGTTCACTCCCATTTTCTTATTTAATTATTTATTTATTTATTCAAATAAATATATCCGGGGTTTTGAAATTTTCACTTTTGTTTTATAAATTATCTAGCAGATCATTTTTTTTTAATGTTAAAGTACCTACCAAGCAAAATATTTATACTATTAATATTTTCTTTAAAAATGGTTTTACAAAAATATAAAATAGATATACAATATATCATCAACAGTGTTAAATAAACTCTAAAAAATTTAACTACTCTTTCAAATTTTAATTTTATTACGTCAATATTTTCAGAAAATTATCGATTAAATAATTTGATGTATAAAATTGGTATGTCATTTGAAAAACAGGAGTTTGTATCTTTACAAAGCACTCCTTAATAGCACAAATATCTCAACATTTTAAAAATATGATATTTGCATGTATTTAAAAATTCCAATTATCGGATTTTGAATAAATTCATTATTAAAGGACAATAAAGGTATGAACATGTTAGATGAAACGCCTGTTTATTAACATGAATAATTGTACGGTAGTATGTTTATAATTGTATGAATATGATTTACTATTTACGTAATATATATAAAACGATTGTGGCATTGAACATAAAAACTACATTGCTTGTTATTGTTCCAGTTTCGATTACCTAAAAGCTGTTAATAAAAGAATACCTATATATTTATTTTATACAGCAAGGAATTAAAAAGTTAGAATAAGTAAATTACTCATATAATAGTATATAGATAGTATATAGTTTGTCTCAAAAATATGACAACCCATATTATTTGAAAACATAACAGCGGTGTACCTAAAATGCCTAACCAGAACGCCATGTTACCATTACAATTTTTTAATTTACATAATTTTATTAATATTAGGTACTCTTTTCGTCGGACAATATTATACATCTATTTTAAATACTAACGACTAATATTAATTTATAATGAATACATTTTGAGAATCAACACCAAGGTTCTGTAAAATTTATACTCGGAGTTAATGTCAGAATTTAACCGTATTTCAGTCACCATATAAAACAGAGTGGTTCAACCTTATATAGTTATCGGGAGGTCAATTTACACTTTCACAAAAACACCGGAGAGCACCAAAAGAAAAAATAATGATATTATTATTTATATTTTATTTATTACAAACATATTATATAATGCACAAATGATTACACCACAGATTAATACTTACATATAATTATGATGATTAGGTTACTTATATTTGGAATTTAGAATTTATGTTTTAAAAAAAATTAATATAAATTTAATATTAGTCTTCTAAAGGTAAGGGGGCAAAAAAGGCTTTAAAAGCTGTATGCGGCCAGCAGCCCAGGTTGGACCACCCTGATATAAAAAACTAACTAACTCTAGGAGAGTGGTGACATAATGGTCGATGTTATTAACCTAAAACATAGGAACCAGTCAACATTAACTAATTTAAAAATAATTTAATAATTTTAATGATTTTACTGTTATTATAGTCAAAAATTAGTAATACACTAAATACTAATACAATACATCATAAAATATTTCAATCATTGTATCGAAGATATTACAGTAACCTACTGAGATTCAGTATTTAGATTTATGTATCTCCAATAAATTGATAATAGAGATTAAAGTTTAGTACAATAACAATATACTCTAAGTACAGGTTAGTATGTTATAATTATTTAATTCTTGATGTTAATGATAAATAAAAGATTTTTTCAAGTGATTTAGTTAAAAAGTTAAATCAAAGGTTTGAAAAGGGTATAGTGATTTACAGTCAAATTATTAATAATTTCCATACAAGAAATAATTGACTTTAATACCACATTGTGGATTTTATATACATATAATATATAACATGATATATATTAATTAATTAATAATTCATTCTCACAACAGTTTTAAATATCTTTGAGGCTAAAACAGCACAAATATCAGCAATTTAGTGGTAAAATAATTCATTAATGTGCATAATAAAACAATTAGAATAAATTTAAATGTCGGTTAATTATATTTAAAAAAAAAATAATATTATAGTATAATCTGAACTTCAACAAATGTACATATTTAACCTGATGATTTAAATAAATTCATAAGTCGAGACATGTTTAGTTAAGCTGTTAAACTTAGTTTTTTTGCATGCTTGATAAAGGTTAATAAATAATATAATTTATCAGTCAAATAGGTTAAAAAATGATTTCAAATAATTCAAAACCTTTGCGAATAATTAGGACCAGGCCCATTGGGATTGACCTGAGAATACATCATTTGTTGGTGTTGAGGCACATGATGAAAGTCTTGTTGGTGCTGTTGTTGTGGTTGTTGTTGCTGCTGTTGTGGATGTTGTGGTTGTTGTTGCTGCTGTTGTGGATGTTGTGGTTGTTGCTGCTGCTGCTGTGGGTGTTGGGATTGTTGTTGTTGTACTTGTTGTTGCTGTTGTACTTGTTGTTGCTGTTGTACTTGTTGTTGCTGCTGCTGCTGCTGTTGTTGTTGTTGTTGTTGCTGTTGTTGTTGTTGTTGCTGCTGCTGTTGTTGCTGCACTTGTTGTTGTTGCTGCTGTTGTACTTGTTGTTGTTGTTGCTGCTGCTGCTGCTGTTGTTGTTGTTGTTGAACAGTAGGTGGCATTACCGTTCCTGGGTTGACACTCGGATGTTGGCCAAGCCCATTCATGCGCATACGTTTTTGATTAGCAGCATGTTGTTGCTGATGACTATGATGACTGCCCGACTGATCAGAATGTGCACCCTAATTAATACAATTTAATAATACAGTAAAATGCTTAAAAAAAGTCAGCTAAACATCTTAAAAAAACAATCGCTTAATACTTTCTTTAAACTTAAGTATTTTAATAATTCATATGAAATTTAAGTATGTTTACAATCCCAACAATTTGAAATTATTGAAATTATCTTTTATATTACAAATAATAGTTATAAATACCTTCTAATAAATCACAAACATTGAAAATATAATTTATGGTAAACAACTTGAGATTATAAAACCACTTCTTATCTAATTAATTAGATAATAAAAATGTTATATTTAACTATGAATTTAATTAATATAATTGTTGTACGAGTTTAAAGTATAAAATTATTATTACTAATTTTAGTTAATTTGATTTTAGTACTAATAAATTCATACTCAAACAATTATCTATACATATATTAAATGCTTTAAATAAAGACCACTATTAATATTTATTAAAATGTATGTAAAATAAATCAACAACACTACATAAAAAGTACTAAAAAACAAACAATATATTATTAATAGCATAATATCATAATATGATTTAAATGTTTAAAAATTAATAGTTTACTATAGAAAATATATTTGATTGCCACTTGGAATAATATTTAAAAAAAAAAATTAAAATGTAATCCATCATGACTACAAAATATTTGAAGAATGTATTTTTTTTTGTTTTTGTTTAATAAAATAAAGAAATAATTGTCACCATATGCCTATCAATATAAAAAAATCAATAAATACTGCACAATCATGTTACCAGCATTAAATGTCTAAGCATAAATTGTAAATGTAATAAGTATAGTAGTTACTTGTAATAAACGAAACAATTTTAAAACCTATCAATAATAAAAACGTTATGTGTATTATCTCTAGCGTAGTATGACTTAAGCCATGCCAATCATGCAAACTATTAATATCAGTATTGTTGGTTAAGCTATTACAATGGTCCTGAGTAATACTGTCAAATCTAGACATGATACTATTGTTCTTATTATAAATGGGACTGTTAAAACTATCGATTAAGTAACATCAACGATCATATAGAAAAATCTAACAAAATAATATTAAGTCATAAAAATATTGAAGTGCATGCAGTTAATATGGTTTTATATAATATAATGACTTATAAATATGTAATTTTTTTAAAAAGTATATTTTGTAAAGCAATAGAAAAATCAAAAAGCAAAAAGCAAATTTAAAAACCCATGGAATTGAAAAAAATTATTATCATATTTTGCATTAATAAGTAAAAATCATTAATAGCTATCTCAAAATTGAGATAATGCTCAAGTATCACTTTTTTTTAAATTTAAATTTAATTATTTTCTTAAAAATTGTGTTATCTTGATAATTTTGGTGATGATTTATTAGTAAAATTCAATAAATGTTTGCAACAATTAATAATATTGACTATTATTTTTTATTTATTTTTTTAGCTACTTCATGATCTTTTAAACTAATAGTCATGCATTATTAGGAAATCATATTTTTACAATTAGTTTTTACTCTCACACACGTAACATAGACCATAGTTCATATAATCAACTAAAAAATGTGATAAAGAGAGAGCATCAGTTGTCTGCTATAGTCTACATGACATAAATATAACTGCTTTCGATACTTAAATTGTTGTAACTTTGAGGTTCAAAATACTATATCAAGGTTTAATATATAAATCTGTTATTAAATTAAACTTTTTTTTAAATGTTATAATTTTTCAAAAAAATAATGAAAATTTAAAAAAAATAGTAATTAAAATACTTAAAATAAATTAAAAAATCAAAATATTTAAATATAAAAAAAAAATTTGTAAACAAAAAATAGATCATATTTTATTAGTAATGATTTTGTGAAATTAAAATATATTAAAAATTAGTTAAGTACAAAAAGCAGTTTTACTATACTACAAAATACATGCATGTAAAATAGCAACAATCACTTTCGCTATTGCATCTCCTAACTTTTAAGATTACGTAACACTCATATATATATTGTTAACATACTACATATCCATAACATAGTCAAAATTATGGATGAAGTCATAGATACCTATAATATTGTCACTTTTAATGTTAGAAAAGAAAACATCTATATTTTTCTCTCAAAAATATTTTAAACTAATACTTTAGTAAATATTGATATTATTTACATGTTTTTTTTTTTTAGAGATCACTTTACTAATGTTAAAAATAACATTACGTTGAATAAATATCAATAATGCTATACTCATACATGTAAGTTGGAGACAACAAATATAAGTTATTTTCTAAATAGTTTCTAAATATCAATTTATAAATTTATAATAGGTAATTAAAAAAGCTTATCCATAGAAAATATTTTCCAGTTTTAATAACTTAATATTATACTAACACACTTAGATATTAACCATTACATTTTCATTTGATTTTACTATGTGGGTTGTTATTTTAAATATGTTATATATGAGAGGTAAATTAATTAAATTTTGATATAGTTATTAACTAATATATTATGCTTTAATTTTCAAATAATACAAATGTATTATTTTTGAAACATGAAATTATAATTAATAAAATACTTCTTAAATAGTTAAATACTTATTGTAACTATGATTTGTTACAAAATCATTAAACAATACTGTACTAAAATTAGTAAAATTCATCAAAAAATAAAAATAAAACATACATTTGTAGCTTGCTGTCGTTTGTCTTTATCGTCTTGATCATCGTCAGTCAAAAACTCTCTTTTGGGATATGGTATTGGACATCCAGCAAAAACACTTAAAAATCAAAATCAAAGAATATAATTTTAGTTAATTTTCACAAAAATAAATAAATAATTAAATACTCTGAGGTAGGCGTAGGATCTTCTTGAAAATATGAATCTTGTTTAGCCTGTTCTGAAGTAATTCTTTTATTTGGATCCATAAGTAATAATTTTTGTAACTAAAACAGAAAAGTTATAAAAACATTATTTTTTATTTGGTATTTGGTTATAATGTTTTTTTTTTTTTTTTTTTTACTAAATGAAATGCTTTGCTATCCGGTTTTATTTTATGCCGATCCATATATTTCACCAAGGAACAATTTGAATAGCTAAATTAATTTAAAATAGTAAATTAATTAAAATAACTTAAAGTGTTATATTCAAATATTAAAATTTTTTATTTAAAGCAAATAATTTCTATATTTACTTTGATCGTTTAAAATCTTTCATTAAAGTTTGATGTTCTGGCATCTTTTTTATATCTTCCCAATCTTTCTCTTGAGGAAAGCCCATTACATTAAAAATTCTGAAATAAAACACATGACATATACACATTTGGACGACATAATAATTGTATTAAGCAATGTATATTGTTAATATAATAATGAGCAGGGCTAGGATAGTATAGGATTTTGCATTTTTTATTAGGATTTACAGGATATAGCTTTTCAAGCACAAAATGTGATTTGGTCATCTACGAGTTCAAATATATAGTTTTTATTTTGCATATTTTTGCATTTTTTGTACTTTTTTTGAATTTATGGTCATTTTTAGCATTTTTAGGTCATTTTTTCAATTTTAAAGTCATTTTTTATACTTTATTGAAATCTGGATTATATTTTATAAAATTTTAAATGGTCGTTATTGATCGTTATAAATTGTTGTACAGACATATAAAGATACAACATTAAAATAAAATCATAAACATATTTTCTAAAAATATTTAATACTTCAAAATACCAATTGTTTATAAGTATAATATAAAATATACTCATTAGATTAGTATACTTATAAATATTAATTATTATTTATTAATTTATTAATATAATTATATTTTTTTCGATCATTTTTTAGTTTTTATTAGGTCATTAAAATCCTAGTCCTAGTAATGAGTAATGACATAGAAACTTTATAATTTAGATGTTGCTAATAATTAATATATTATTAAAAACTACTTAAAATATACTTAAATTTATACAAGTCATGCAATATACTATTAGTTATTAATACTATTTGATTATGTTTACAATTAATGTAAATGCATAATTATTATTTCTTTTAAATTACAAATTAATGAAAATACCTAAATCCAACAAATGGACATGTTAAAATTGATTCTTTGATAAAAATACAGTACACTAGTTGGATAAAATTTTCTACTCCAATATTAATAAGTAATAGTAACTATAAAATATAAATTATAAGTTATATAAATGTAACTATAAATGTGATAATAAATAAACCAATATGTTCAGATATATTAAAAATAAGTAGTTAACTTAGTTAATGTTCATTTTTTTAAATTTAATGTTATTATTTGCACATACAAAATTAATGTGTTCATATAAATGTGTTTAATCACATTACTGAACTTGACTACATAAATTAGTATAATTTAGCTTTAACTTACCTATCTAATTGATCATGGTGGTAAGGATTACTTGTTTTAATATCTTCTTGGCGACAATGAAAAATTGGTTCAGATGTTAATAATTCAGCAAATATACAGCCAATTGCCCAGATATCTAAATTAAATTTAACATAAAAAATTATTAGTAGTAATACACTATAATTAATAAAAAATATATTTTAATGTAAACAATAAATTTCTTGATTTTAACAACAAATAATTATTTAAAATATTGAATTAATATGACATTATCTTAAAAATAGCAATTATTGGCTTATTTGTTTAATAATCTCGCTAAAAATAATAATCTACAAACTTATAACAAGGAAAAAAATAAAGAATTTTTTCAAAAATATAATGTTGCTTGTATTAATTTTTAGAAAAATGTGTGATTTATAATATAATTACCAATAGCTTTGGTGTAATGTCTTGCGCCTAATAGAAGTTCAGGAGCACGATACCAAAAAGTAACTACAACTGGATCAAGATCAGCAAGTGGTTTTAATGGGGCATTGAAAAGTCGAGCAAACCCCATATCAGCTATTTTTACACGTCCTCTTTCAGGACCTTCTCCCATTACTAAAATATTAGCTGGTTTCTAAAAATTGTAAAGATTATTATTAAATTCTAAAAAAAAATGTATAAATATATTTACCAAATCTCTATGTAAAACCCAATTTGAATGTAAATAATGTATTCCATCAAGGATTTGAAAAAGTAAAGATTTAACCATTCCTTTGGGAACCATTACCGGTTTTTTATTTGCTTTTGCTGCTCTATGAAACTTAATTATATGCTATAACAAAATAAAATGTTTTTTTGATAACTTTTGTTAAACTGAAACTTTTAAAAAATACAGAATAATATTGATATATTTAAAAATATCTATAACTTATAATCATTAATATCTGTAAAATATGTTTTTCCAAAAAATACTATGTACAAAATTAAACATTGTACTTTTACATTAAATAATGTAAATATCTGTTAATTTATTATATTTTACAGATATTTTACAGATATTATGCATTATTTTATTACTAATTATTTGTAAAAATTTTTTACATTGATAATAATGGTTGTACAAATAATAGTTAAATTTGTGATTTTTTTTTTAGTTAAAAATTATGTCTATAAAAAATAAAAGTTTTTTATATGTTTAATTGACTTTGTTATTCAATATTGTTAGTTTATAAACTAACTGTATTACTTAATTTATTTAGTTTATTCTAATTACAATTTATTAAGTTTAGAACATAACTATGTTGATGAAGTTTTTCAACAGAATGAAAATGAATACTTATGAATAACAACAAAATATACCAGACTATTTACGCTGTTATAATTAACATTGAAGAATATAAATTATACATTTTATACTTACTATTTATCAACACTACTATTATTAATCACTTATTATATAAAAATCATAAAAATTTAAATACAAATTTATTTTTATACCTAACTAGGTGAAATATACTTAACAAATAATAACAATTATAATTTTTAACATTTTTATACTATTCTATAACTGTAATAATTCTTACCCAAAGATCATGTTCAGCATAATCAAAGAGCAGCCAAACCTTTCTATCATTGTGTGACAAAAATACTCTAATTAGATTTATCACATTAGGATGCTTCAATTCACGTAACAACTAGAATAAAAATTATATTTGGTTATTTAAATTACAACAAATCAGCAAATAAAAATACTAACAGCAATTTCACGACATGCTGACATTGATAATCCAGTGCCTTCAATTTGCTTCAAAGCAAAGTCTTTACTGTTGTCCCTAAAAAAGTTAGCATATTCAATAACTTTTTATAATAATCTGATTAAAATAATAACAAGCAATTTTAACATTGCAAAATACAAATATGTATCATGTGTTGTGTAGACCATTAATTAAATTTTATTTATTATTACAAAAATAAGATTCACTTGCTATACCATACTATTATGCTTTAATATTTCAAAATGAATAATCAATAATTTAATTACTATTTATTTTCAAGGCTAGACAAATGCTAACACTAAATTTACAAATAACAATTTATTACTAAAGTATAAATAGGTAGATATTTTTAGATGTTTAATATTAATAATCAAAACAATAATATTTATCAAGGTTTTGTGATAATGGGACCCTTAATAATTGTGAAATTATATTCTTTCTAATCATATTATTATCTATTAAAAATTTACATAATATGTTACATACCCATCTTTTCTTCTGGCCTTATAGACATGGCCATATGTACCTCTTCCAACTTTACACCCTTCGTAGTCAAACAGCTCTTCTACCTTAGCTCTTTCATTACCTGTCTTAATTTTGAACTCGTAATCCATTGAACTACAATCTTTCAATGGACCAAAATACAAAGTTTATATTAAGGCTCATGAATTAATTAACTATAGACCTATAACATAAACATTAAATTATACTTTTAACTAGATATTAATTTTATGTTTAAAACGGGCAATTCATTTTTATATGTTTATAATTGTTTTCAATAACTAAATTAAAACCATACACACCTATATAAAACGCCCATAATTGTAGCAATGATTAACTCATCAGCAAAAATAACACACTATCGAGTATAAACTCGATAAACAATAGAACAGATAGCAATGGATTTTTGAGGCAGTATTAAATTGAAAACGATCAAAATATTACATACTTCATAAATAGCCAGTAGGTATAAAATTAATTTTATCTTTTAAATTTGACCACTTTTAACAACACTGAAACGTAAACAAACTGTATGCTGATAACAAAGGCCGGATCGGTATAGCCAACATTAGAAGATAATAATAATATCATTGAGCAAAGAAAAATAAGCCCACTAATGGCACTAATGAGTAATGTATTTACTACAATTTTGATATTTTGAATTTACATCAGTATTATTACATCAACTACATGTGTATCTAGTATATGACTATTTTTTTTTAAGATTTAATATGTTTATATAATTGCATAATTCATAATATGGTCTGTGGTTGAACGTTTGAACAATCAGTATTCACGAAGTAACTAAAATTGTTTAATTTAGAATATTCGATTTAGTCGAAATTTGAACACGGAATTTTCACATAATATATATTTCATCTGTTCTCTGAAATTTCTAAGAAAAATGTTTTTTTAATAATTTTAAATTACATAAAAGAATGACCTTTTATTACATATTCAGACCTTAGTTTTTAACATTAAAATTTAATTAATCATTGACTAAATTATAATTTTAGTTTTTTAAATTACTTTAAACTATTAAAATTTGTTGTTTTGCGCGTGAATGTTAAATATAGTATTATTACAATGTCACAATATGAGATTTAGACATTATTACTCTAACTCTATTTTTAATTTCAATAGCTAATAAGTAGATCATGGATTTTTATGCACTAAAAAGTATTGAAATGTACCATATAATATGCAAGAAAATTCTTTTATCTATTAAAAATTCAAAAATGAATCAACTTATAATTATACCTAAAATTTTTCATCAATGTATAATACATTTCATAGTTTGTAAAATATGCAATAACCACTAAATAATAAACAGAAATATGAAAAACAAATTTACTATTAGATTCAAATTATCAAATTATTATGATACGCGAAAATAACTGACAAAAATCCAAAAAAGTGAAAAGGAAAAAATAATCGATTAGCTACATAAAAATTCGCTCTAATTTTAAGTCAACAAAATTATTTTTAATAGGTATTCCTATTAATGACAAAATACTATTTTTTATATATTTTTTAATTTTTCACTTCAATATTCAATAGTTACATTTCGAGTTTGTAAAAATACCTAAAAATATGCAATAATAACCATTTAATATATATTAAATATGTTTGACTTACCTACTAGCTTTGAAAAATAATAAGATACCTAAAAATATTTAATTACATATATATTGCCATATTGGTGCAAAAAATAATATGATTCAAAATATAGTACCTACCTACCTATTTAATATAATATTATTACGTGGTGAACGCCACTCCTCCCTATTGGGCTTTTTTGTATAGTACAGGGGTGGGCAACTGGCGACCTGCGAGCTATATTAATTCACATTATAAACAAATAATAATAATTTTATAATTTAAATATACAATTAAATGCATATTTTAAATAACCTTTAGTATTGTTTAATAATCTTATACAACAAATTTAAATCACAATATTTCAGGTCAGATAAATATAATTGATACAAAATTTACAGAAGGGGAAATAATCTATAGTTACACCTTACAACACTACTGTACAGACCTTTAAGATATCTAGCTTGGGTTACCTATGGTTAATTATTTTATAAAGAATATGAAATACTATAATAATTTTTTTTTTTTACTATAACATAATATAATTATGTTTAAATAACAAATTAAAAACATCACGAGGTTTTATTATTGGTTTCTTAACTCAATTTTTTAAACTAAATCATACTTAATTCATCACTTGTAATACTTGTACAGTTTTACACATTGTTAAAAACTATTTATAGATTGTATATTATACTGGCGTGTGACGTAGTGATCCAGATATTAAGTCGTATAGCAGTGTTTTAATTAATTTAGATAATTTCTATCAGTTAAAATAAAATAGTTGTTTATTGAATAAAAAAAAAAGTTCAAACTTAATAATACAATAATTTTGTAACATGAAAATACTCGAAACTCAACAGTTATGATGTCATATTTTGCTTTTCTTAGACCAAAAGTAGTTTTTATAGGTAAATATTATTTTTTTAATTGTGAATAGCTAGATCATAATTTGAAATCTAGTTAAGTGGAACTTTATAAATGCCACTTATAAACATTATAAATAATTATTATAATATATTGTATTTTTGCAATCATATACTTATCATTGTATTTGATAAGTTGTCTTGAGTTTGTGATACCAATTAATATTTTTAAATAACTTTTAATAAAATCATTAATATATTTCATACTTATATTAATAAAAGCAATTTGTATGTATATAAGCAATCCATATCTTAGTCAATCATACTAATGGTTCTGAAATTTACTATAATATAGGTAATCCTGTAACCAAGAATGTGCACATCAAAACCAATTTTTTTTAAAATTAGAATTTAAAAAAAAAGCTCACAAAAGAATTTGTTGGCTGACAAAAAACAATATGTTTTTTTATTTTTATAGAGTACCCATTAGTTATAGCAAATAAAAAAAAATATTCATTTGTTAATATTGGATATAATTTTAAGCTTGTATGTTATTTAGTCAAAATCACCCAAATAAATATATAAAAATATGTTTAGTTTACATTTAATGGAGTTTAAGAAGAAGTAAATCTATGGGGATTGCAAGATTAGCCGGTATATAATATATTCTGTATAATAATTATTGTGATTCCAATTACCATATTACATCAACATTTTGTTTTGGCAATAAATCTTTAATCGTACAAGTATTGTTTCTAGGAATCCCAAATCCATGAGTATGTAATAATGTGATATACATAATATAATAAAAAAAACAATAAATAAATAACAAATAATAAAATATAGATAACTAATGAAAGTATTAAGTTAGCAGTATTTATTTTATTACACTCAAATAATATGAAAATTAAAAAACTTAAGTAAAAAAATACTTTTTAATCTATAGTTTATCCATATCGCCCAATTTATCAGATTTTCCATCAGTACATTTTTCAGGATTGGGAAATTCCAATTGAACAGTTACTGGTCCATCATTCACTATTTCAACTTCCATCATTTCCCCAAATGCTCCATCTAAAATGCATTATTTCTATTATTATTATTATTATAAAACATAATATGTAGATAAATTTTAAATATTATAACAATTAAATTATTTTGATAGTATAACATGTTTAATGATTAAAGATAAAAAACATAATATATGATAAATTTGAAAATGTGTGCAGTTAAACAATGCAGTACACCAAGTGATTTGCTCTGATTTTGAACTAAATGAATTTGTTGTCTTATAAAAATTTTTGGGATATCAAGTATAAAAATTAAATAATTGTCATCTAATATTTTTAAATTGTTATTATCAAATGATTTATGGAAATATCTTAAAACTACTATGGTAAGTATTTTCAATTTATTCACTTGTTTTAATTTTTTATTCATAAATTTGTATATTCTTCAATAGGCTTGCATTCTATCTGCTACAGCCACATTTGGCAGATGTTGAAATATTAATTTTGTATAACAACTTATAAAAATTTCAACAACATCTTCTATAGTAATAACAGATTTTCTATGTGTAAAAATAAACATGTCAACTTGAATTTAATTATCGACTAGGTGGCTCTAAATGGTTGAAAAAATAGACATTTAAAAATACACACACATGCAAAAAAACAAGAGTAATATTGAAGAATTTTTGATGAAGTTAAAGAAAAATATGACTTAAATAATACAAACAGTATTGAACTCAGAAAAATATATTTTTGAATATTATTTTATATTATAATTTAAAATATTTTAACCAGGTATGATGTATTAAGTTTTAAAACAAAAATCATTTTTAAGCTATTATTTTATTTTCTGAAATGGAATACTTAAATAACAATATAAAAGAATGTAATATAAAATTTCGTTTATTTTAGGCTGTTACAACACTGGTACAAGTTAAAATATTTAATATTCATATTTTAATTCTTTAATTTTTGAATTTAATTTAGATAAAATTAAATTTTAAAATAATAAAATCAAATAATACTTTTAATTTAATAAATTTGTCTTAACCTTTAATTTTATTTGGATTATAATGTTTACGCAAAGTGTCTAAAAAATATTGATAATTTTGCATTGCAAGGCCACTAGGCATGGCCATATGAAAATCTAATTTGTTTCCTTTAAGCTTATAGCATAAAGTAAACTGACTAATTGACAATATTTCATAATTCATGTCCATTACATTACAATGCCATTTCTTTTCATCTTGATTGAAAAGTCGTAGCTTTAATATCTTTTGAACCCTGAAATAATAAATAATATAATTATGACATAAGTAAGACTAGGTTAAGTCAATAAATTAAAACATTAATATTAATTAAAGTTATATCTTTCTTTTCAAAGACCTATCATGATTTAAAAGTAAAATATTGCAAATTAGTAAATGCTTTAACAATTAAAAAATAATCTCGATGAATAATTTATTTTTCACATTGTTTTCAAGAACAACCCAATATTTAATACAGAAACAAAATATACAGGTAATATAAGTTAATTAATATGTTAATCAATCGTAGATTAAAAATATAAATTTAATATCATCTTACATAGCATCAATATCATTTTTTTCATCAGTTTTCTGCAAACCAACCAACAGACATAAGCCTTTAGTTATTGAATTGACTTCATGTCCATCAACTAAAAAAAAAATTAAATTAAATTTGCCTACATCAATAAAAGAATTACTTTATTTAGTTTAGGATTTTCCTATAAACATGAGAGTTACTACATAGTTTAGTTAAGTTCAAAAACATTCAAACATATTCAAAGTCTACTAACTAAAAATATATCATAGCATTTATAGATGTCTTATTGGATATCAATTTAATCGATGATAAAAATATTATGAACACTTTTATAATGTTACTTATATACCGAAACAAATACATTTTAAAAATAATCATCAATAAAAATATTACAATTCTTATTTACAAGTATTTTTTCCTTTCCTGTCTGTATCTTAAATATTTTTCTATTTCTATGATATAATGTGTTAAATTAACATAAACAATATAAATTTAATAACATTTAAAGAATTTGTGGTTTTTAACTTTTAATTAAATTTTTATAACTAATTTTATAGTTTGAATAGTGAGTAGTGACATTAGATATTACAATAAGTCAATAAAAGTATTATAAAAATTTACCTGAAACTTTGGCTCTTAAAACACGTTGAACGACTACCTTCATAATGAAAACATGCAAAATAATATAAATACAACTGACATTTAACAGTAGTCAGCATTCAGCAACTACAAAAGTTATTTGTTGGGATGAACCAAACATTTGGCAAAGAAATCGTTGATATTTGAATTAGTGAAAATTAAATTCGTAAAATGTGTACGATAACAAAACATATCAGACGATGAGAAATAGAGGATATCACAGAATTCTGTGATAATATTCTTACTGATATCCATTGGCTATATAATTATTATTACTATTATCATAATTTCGACTGTCGATATGATAACGAATGTAAATACTAAATAACTAAAAGTTAATATGAAATCAACTTCTATTTTTATATTTAAATGTATATAATAGCGATTAATGAGTACACTCTACATCATCGATCAATTATCATTACTTATTATTAAAAATTGATCGGGTATTATTTTGAATTTTCTGTGACACAAACACTTAACACACGGATCACGGTAAAGTGATTTTTTTTTTTTTTATTTGAAACAAGAGTCATTTAAAAAACTTTATAATCATCATCATTTACTTTCCAACCAAATAGGAAATAGCAATGGGTGAAAAGCGTAAGGTCATGTTTGTGTGTTTGGGTAATATTTGTAGATCTCCGATGGCTGAGGCAGTGTTTAATGAGGTGGCTATGCAAAAAGGCGTAGCTGATAAATGGTATGCCGAAAGTTCTGGTACCGGAGGATGGCACGTAGGCTGTTCACCAGATCAACGAACAATGACCGTACTGAGAAACAATGGTATTAATTTCAAACATGCTGCACAACAGTTCAAGTTGGATGACTTGGAAAATTTCGATTTTGTTTTTGGAATGGATAAGAGTAACGTGGACTTTATCAATCGGAAAAAACCATCAGACAATACAAGAGCAAAAATATTAATGTTAGGATCATTTGATCCTGAAGCAAAAATCACTGGACAAACCAATATAGAAGACCCATATTATGATTCTGATCTTCGAGGATTTGAAAAATGTTTTCAACAATGTATGAGGTCATGTCAAGCATTTTTAGACCAATACGAATAAAAAAAAAAAATGTATAACTTTTATTAAATAATAACAATTATAAATATCAAACATTGAAACAAATTGGTTTTTTTAAACTTATTAGTAATTACTGAATATAATAATATGCATGAATATATTAATACAATAATAAAATGTATACATATGAAATAAAATTGAATAACTTACTTGTTTAAATTTTTGTTTATTTCGGGGATTAATAATGACTTGAGAAAACTATTGCCATTTGTAATATTGGTAGTGGCAATTACATAATCAATTGTAGCTATAAAAAAGGTTGGAATTTAAATTTGTATTCATATAAACACAAAATAAGATTTGGGAACTTACAGTCTTCAAGCGATGACAAAAATCTGAGAGCAGATATTTCTGCAAATGTACATCCTCCAATAAAGAACACAAGCACAACTTTTTGGGAGTCTGTCAAAAAGCTGATATTAGTTGCTATAAAAATAATAATTGCAATTTATTAAAATAGTAAGTATTTAAATGATTACAATACATGTTTTATTTATGATGACATTAAATTATTCCTAGAAATTAATTTTATTGAACATAGACTGCTCTTCCAGGAAGATCTAAGTCTGTGAAATTGTGGATATTTGGTTTATTCCTACATTTTTAAATTATTTCTCTAGGGCTAATATGCAATATGGTTAATAATCTTCAATTCAAAGTTCCCCTTCAGAAGTTTAACACTTACAGTGATAACATAACTTATATAGCCTTAAAAATTAGGATTTTTGAAGCATATAAGCACTAACTTTAAATTTACCACAACTGTTTCTGTCAAAGTGCACAATGCTTGCTTGTTCACTCAATCCTTAAATATAGTCTTATAATCTGGTATCTTCTAACAGTTGTGGTAGTTTTTAACTTGAACGTGTAAATCATAGTTTAAATTTGATGTAAATGTAGTGGATATTGACTGTCCTCTATACACAACTATACTCATTCTTGCACTTGGTATACAAATAGATTTCAGGAATGCGACCAACCTTTTTTTTTTTGTTTTTAGTAAATTAATATTAGAGCAAGTTAATACAATAACTATATGTTTACTAAACAAAATTAATTTTTATATGACAGGCAATGTTATACTTGTATTTTTTGTATTCTTTTTATGCAGCTGATTACCTATGAAATAGTTCTTCTAATAGAATAATACGGTTAGCTAATGAAAATTCAAACTTTTTTTATTATATTTGTTCTTTATATATTATAGTGCTTCTCACATAATTGAAATATCCATTTTTGTATTTTTTTTATTATGTAAACATTCATTATTAAAAATTGTTATATTAAATTATTTTAATTTTATTATTGCAAACTTCTGTAAGCTTCATCTTAACTAAATAATAATTAATAAATAAAATACCTTGATCAACATCAGAATTAACATGTTCTATAATAGGTCCCGGTAATAATGGTAGAACATCAGATAAAATTTTACTGTCTGATTTAGAAATATGTTGAATTAGTCTAACACTCAGTGGAGCATAAATCCCATAAACATAGTTAATATCATCTGGATCAACTTCACTCATTTCATAAACATCTAAGTTTAATAGACGGCGACAAACAGCATAACTTCTTGAATTTGCCTGTAATAGATATTCGTTAAAATTATATACTATAGCATAAATTTAAAAAAAATATATTTACTTGTATTTTAATAAGACCAGCATTTTCCAAATGAGTCATAGTTATAAGATGTTTGAAACCATACACTTGAATAATTTCTCTCTTATAATATTCTAAAGTTTTTTGCTTTAATCCTGAATTTACAGCAGATTGCATACATATTAATCGTAATACCTGCAACATATATGAAATATTTGATAAAATATTTTAACACGAGTATTAAAAATATCTTATAATTACTGTTATAAGATCAAATTTGTTGGAAATTAAATCTTCTATCTGTGGTAATACTTTGTCTGATTCAATACCTAAAATGAGTTCTTGTTGTACATTTATTAAATCTCGAAAACTAGTTTTATCAGTTAGTTCTTTGATTAGTCCAGCAACTGTGGTATCTAATTAACAAATAAATTAAACAATCATTTTTAGTTAATCTCAAATATTCATATATTAAATAAAAAGCTACCAAACAAAATTAATTACAGTATAATTACATGTAGAAAGTTGTCTTTTTAATGCCAGTATGTAAGGAAGTCTAGACACTAACTGTTTCATTTCTTGAACTGTTTTACCACTTCGATTTTCATCATATTCTGAAGTAATGTGTTTGGCTCTTTTACTTAAATTCATTAATACTGCATTAAAGTGTTTATTTCTATTTAAATACAATCAATAAAAATATTAACATTATTTATCCAACAAATTTTAAATTTTTAAGTTTATAGCAGTGTTTCTCTACTAGTGAACAGGGGTATTTTTTATAATTTTTTTATTAATAAAAAAAAATTGAAATTGAAAAAAAGACAGTCTTCATTAGCTTTATATACATATTTTTTTTATTCACTTCCAAGATATATAACCATTAACAGCGAGCAGTAATTACTATTACTGGAGACCAATAATAATTGTTTATTATTATTACTACAAGTAAACAATGTACAGTTTTTAATTATTCTAAAATTTAAAATCAGTGAATAAAAGTTATCCTTGTTATGAGAAATAAAAAAGTCTATAAAATCAAGCTAATGTGAACTATTAACACTTTTTAATGTGATCCATATTATAAAAAAGGTAAAAGACACTGATTTACATTAATGATATATTGTAAATCCATTGAAAATTATACCTTGTTTCAGCAAATATTTCATCGTTTGAATTTAATACAAGCTTTTTATGCGTTAATGTATTAACATTATCTTCTTCAGAAACAAATTTGTCAGCTGGTAGTTCTACAGTACCTAAAATAAAATTTAATAATAAAATAAAATAAAATAAATTAAAGCTTTTGTTTAAAATAAACTTACAGCAATCAATTCCAAAAAGCTCATCAATAAGTCCTTCAAATGTTAACTGTGTAGCCATTGGTGTCATTAAATCAACAGAACGGTCAATTAAAACAAGATGATCAATTGTTTTATAATTTCTGTTTGCTTTAGAATTAGGTTTGCGAGGTTCTAAAGATATTTTAGATACTAAATCCCAAACTTGTTTAACAACAGGGCCCTTGCCAGTTACGCGGCCAATTCGCCCATAAAGATCTTCTAGACTAACAATTGCTTGTGCTACGCGATATAAACATGTTGGATCATTTTCTAATGATAACTCCTAATTACAAATAAAATATTAGTCAACAAACTATAATATAAAATTTAGTACATTATTACTAGCAAGTTGTAAGTAAGCAAAAATAAATATTAAATAAACTGCAAAATGTCTAAAATACTAAAATATATTTATTAATTGATTCACATGTTTTTATTAACATTATTAAATATCAAAAATTATACAGTAGAGTCTTGATAATCCGGAAAAATTCAAACTGAGCATCATCCACTCTATAGATTTGTCCAGATTACTAAAGGGTTTTCAAGATTACCTACACAAATGACTAAGATTTTTATTTTTAATTCCACCACCTTTATAATATTGATTGCACTTAAAATTTAAAAAGTAATAAATAACTTTAATATATGAATTTAAAAAAAATAAATATTTATGATAATAGAAGAACTTAAGTATAGTAGTCAGTAATTTTTTTTTTTTGAATAATAATAGTAATAATTCTAAACAAACTAAAAATGCATTTACGAACAAATGGACTTATGCTGTCCAGATTACGGTGTTCACCAGATTATTGGGGGTTCGGATTATCGAGGCTCTACTATACATATTTTATCAATTTTTGTATAAAAAAAAAACTGATAAAAATAAAAATTTCATAATCATTGCAAAAATAAATAATATACAAGTGCACAAGGCTTCCCATATCAAATTTTAGACCTTTATTTATTGTTATACCTTATAACAATCATTCATTTCCATTGACATAAGATCATTTTCCAAAGGAAATAAAAAACAACAAAATTCTTCAATGAGAACAAAATTTCCTAAAACTCCTTTTCTCTGAAAATTATAATTATTATTATTAATATATTTATTTAAAAATTTAAATAGAATAATAATAATTATTATAATTATTATATAATGGATCTCATTAAGCTAACTATACCATTAATTAAATAATCATTTTTTTTTTTTTTTAAGTTCATGTTATAAACATAAACATGCAATATAATATGAAATATTATACCTAGTAAAATAAACTTACTTCTAAACGTTTTTCACATAATAAACTGCGAGTAGGAACAAAAAATAAATGATATTCTCTTTGTTTGAGATCATCTTGATTTTCCCTAAAATAATATACATTAATTTTAGTTGAATAATTTAAATAATCTACAGTGTATAGGTAAGCATTATTTAAATTGTTGTTAGACATTAGCTAAGTAATACTTGATCATTAAAATGCAAGAAATATTTTTTAAATATATCTTAAAATTATTTGAATAACTTATAAAAACAAAATAATAAATTAATTGCAATGAAATACACATACTTATGAATATTATCACATATCATATCCATATGTGTTAAAAATGGTCTTGAAATAAATATAACATTTTTCACCTTTTCACGAAAATTACTTAACTTGCCAGCGTTTAAAATAAATACTTCTTTAACATCATGTTCACGTAACAAACTATAAGTAGCTATCAAACCAATAGGTCTTGTTAGTCCTTCATCCAAGATTATAACCTACATATTATGTTTTAATTATTTTAACATAATAATTATATCTTAGTAATTCTTAATTAATATTTTACCTTAGGACCATCACATTTGTCCAATAAATAAATTAAGTCTTTAGCTGCGCTCTCTTGAAGTAAACTAATATTTACTCGACTGCTAGTTAAATAGTTAGACATGGTGGACAATAAAATATTTTTAATAAAATATTATGATTAACATAAATTTTGAAATAATAAATTAGATTCAAAAGTATTTCTAACAGATTAAGAGAGAAAATATACAAGGATATTTTTTATTAAAAATTAATTTTATAAATGTATAAATATTAATAAAGTGTTTTCTAAATTGTATTTATCATATTGTAATAAAAATTAAAAATATTTAAATAATTTAATTTAATTTTTGTGCACATCAAAATATGAATATTGAATACGGTCTGTATTATCAAAAAATTCCTATTAACAGCTTTGATAACAATGTAGTTGGTTACACTGTTAAACCGTATGTTTAAGTAGATTTTATTTTCTTATAGATAAAATTTAATAAAAAGTGAAGAGAGAAGAGACAGAAGGTTACAATATAATATATAAATTTCTTTGCAATTCAAAGTAGCTAAAAATTAAAATTTGTGAAATTTCGTAACGTATAAATCTTTCATACATTAAACATCTTAGTATTTCAATTAACTTGATAATCATGTTTGGTTTATCGAAATTAGCTCAGCCTTTGGCCAAGCAATCTCTACAAGTAGTATCCAAGAGAACAAATGTTACTGTTAATGGTCCACCTCAAGTTAAAATGCCAAAATGGGTAAATATACTAAGAATTTTTTTTATTTCTTTAATTGCTTAATACTTACATAATATATATTTTTCTTTTTAATTATCTTACGCGTTGAATGAATACAACTTAGATTTTGTGTTTATTGTAATTTGTAGTATGTTTTTACAATAATATGCTACTTTATGATAAAATCTTTAAAACTACAATTATTAATAATTTTAAATTTAAGTTATAATTTTATTTGATTTTAATAATATATAATTAATTCTCAAAAACTTGTTTATTAATGTAATTTTGTTGTTTTTTGTTAACAAATAATAGCAATAATTTTTTATTGTCTTTTTCTGGCAACAATTGCTTATTGGAGGTTCTGCATCTGGATCAATCTTGATCATACCTATTTGGGTTCTATACGATTTAAAGAGTCTTCCACGGGCATAATTACTATACTTCATGTTTTTGTTGCATTATAAAATTAGATATGTATTATGTAAACATTTTTTTCTATTGAAATAAAATGATATTGTAGTTGAAATACTACCAACTGTATTATATGTAGTTTTAATTATTAATATTACCTAAATTTTTATTTATGTTTTTGGTGTGTTATCTTAGTATAATTATAAAAGTAATTTTATTTTTTACACTCATTTAGGTTAAATAATTTCATATTAATATGTAAGTGAAAAATCATTATATTTTTATATTCATTTGTTGAAGCAATCTACAGACTTAAAACAGTGTTTTGAATAGATAGAATAAAAATTATTTAAAACCATCAAATAATATAACTTATATAACTTGAAATTATTTCATAATTGACATTTGAAAATCTTGTTCTCTTTACATTTTGTTTACAATATTTTTTTTATTGGTAGAAAAGACAAATCACTATTAATAAAAAGCATACTATTTGGTACTTTATGGTTTGGCATTTATAAACTTATAACTATGGTATGTTAAGTATCTTTATTCTATTGACATACATACATATATTTAAATTTAACTACAATTTGCAATGCTTTTATTGTATATATACAATTGTTTATGTTCTGATGTATTGATGCCCAACATGCTATCAAATTCATCGTATTACATTTAAAATAACTGTTAAGTATTAAATTATTTTATATTCAATAAAATCGTCTTGTGTATATTTATCTATGTGACTATGTATGAACACTAAGTCATAATTTCTATTAAATTTTCAACTTATGAGATATCTAATAGATACTATCGTAATTTGTAATTTATGTTCCACATAAAATAATATTTGGAATTTGCATTTATAGCATTTGCGATTTTTTTGAAGAATTTAATTATAGCCTCTTCTCTTAGAACCTTTGAATGTTAAGACACCTACTCTCATCTATAGTATTTCAGCGTTATGATCATGAAATTGAGTATAATTTAAAATTAAAATTATTAATTATAAAAAAATAATTGTTATCGTGTGAATCAATTGTCATGACACATATTAGACACATTTTTAATTGCAATAGGATATGACGTTACTGCTTAAAAAATGATTTTTTCTATAATCTTTAGCTAAGTCGCACTGATTACTGATAATACAACAAGGACGTATAACGAATAACGATGGAAGCACAGAATAATTATATTATATTATATTATATTTATTCTGTGATGGAAGTATGGAACTCTGGAATTAATTAAAAAATGATGGAGACACCGTGTCGTAAGTCGTAATATCAAAACATCACAATACTAATAATGTTGTACCTACTACCTATTGAGTTTAATAATTTGGCATAGTCAACGGGAAACGGCTGTAAATTGTAATAGATTATGCACCTATTTACTATTGACGTAATGATTGACGGTCAATAGGTCGTTTTTCAGGAAATAAACCATGAAGTATATAGGTATTGTCTATTAATGGATTGTACGCTGCAGCAGCTGCTCGTCCGCTAAGGTCCTTTTCGTGCGATAAGATCGTCTGATAGCGAACGATTTCAACGTATACTATTGGTTAAACGCGCGTTTCCTCTTCGTTGTCCATCGACAACTTTTGGATTCCAAAATCGGCGGTGATACGACAAATGGTCCCATTTACTTAATCGTCAAAATAAACGTCAATCAGTCTTTATAATAACATTTTTACTTATTTCGTAATATCTCGTTTAGTCGTCGCACATCATGGCCCGCGTTTTGGTCGGTGTTAAGCGCGTAATCGATTACGCAGTGAAAATCCGCGTCAAACCCGACAAGTCAGGCGTCGTCACCGACGGTGTCAAGCACGGCCTAAATCCATTCGATGAGATCGCCATCGAGGAAGCCGTCCGCCTCAAGGAGAAGAAAATTGCGTCCGAAGTGATCGCAGTGTCGTGTGGCCTGCCGCAGGCACAGGAATCGTTGCGCACCGCTCTCGCAATGGGCGCAGACCGTGCCGTCCACGTCGAGGTGCCACAGGCCCAGTATGACAGTCTGCTGCCGCTGCACGTGTCCAAGATTCTGGCCAAAGTGGCGATGGACGAGAAAGTGGACATCGTTGTAGTCGGCAAACAGGCCATCGACGACGATTCCAACCAAACGGCCCAGATGACGGCGGCCCTGTTGGGTTGGCCGCAGGCCACGTTCGCATCCGAGGTGACCGTAGCGGACGGTAACATGGTGGTTAAGCGCGAAGTGGATGGTGGCTTGGAAACGGTCAAGGTCAAGTTGCCAGCCGTCATCAGCGCTGACTTGCGACTCAATGAACCACGGTATGCCACACTGCCCAACATCATGAAGGCCAAGAAAAAGCCCATCAAGAAGCTTTCAGCCACAGATGTTGGTGTGGACTTGGCGCCACGTCAACAGGTGTTAAGCGTAGAAGACCCGCCTACCAGACAGGCCGGTTCTATTGTGCCTGATGTCGACACTCTTATTACCAAGTTAAAAGAAAAGGGTCATTTGTAATGTAATATCGAGAACACTATAGTTTTAATCACAAAAAATAAGTGATTTTCAGCTGTTACAAACAATATTTTTTTTTTGTAATTTAAAAATTAAATATAAATACCATGAACATTGTTATGGCTGTCTTTTTTATATTTTGGAAAATTCATTGACATGATGTTATAATTATTTTTATCAATATATTGTTATTTATTAGTAATATAATATATATTTACACATAATAATTTCTTGTTAATTTTTTTCTTCAACCATTAGTATAAAATTTAAATTATCACTTTTAAAATATTACCTAAAATTAAGTTTTTAAAAAAGTAGTAATTTATTGACATGTAATAGGAAAATAAATCATTTCACAAAAAATGTTTATTATTTAGTATGAATAGTTTCATTGAATAAAAATAAAGAAATAAATTAAAATTTATAAAATTTTAGATTTGTCAAGTAAATAGTTATAAAATATTCTTACGTTTTAATTTTGACATAAATGGTTGGATAGTTTTTAATAAGTAATTTTAATTAATGATTATTAAGAATTTTAATAATATAATCCGGGACCATGGATGGATTAATATTTTATTTAATACAATTGTATATAATGCAGTTAAATTAATATTTATAAGATACAAAAATAATTAAAAATTAATCTTTCAATAAGCAATTTAAAAATTGCATTAAATATTTAACGCTGAAAAAAAAAACTTTAAATCTTTTAAACTTAACCAAAAAAAATACTTTAATTACAATTATAATATCCTTAAAGATCTACATCATTTTTAATAATTCAAATGAGATTATTTATGATACATTTTCTGAATTCTCTAAAAAGGAATATAATATATATATATATATACACATGGAATGTACAAAAATATTTTTCACCCAACATATAAGACTAATTATTGCTTGAATTAGATATCAAATTTTTTTTTATGCGACTAGTATATTGTTTCAAACTAGACAATGCAGCTGTACTTGTAACAAAACTACCAGTTGGATTCCTAGGTCTAAAGATATTTAAAAGTTCATTTCGTTCAGCTGCTTTCAAACCCTGTAACACAATGAATCATTTAATATCATATACATTATAGTGATCTACACATACATAATTAAAAGTAATGTCCAAAATAAAGAATGAAAAAACCACAGACCTTCATCTCTAAAATTTTCTGAAATTCTGTCATATCAGATTCTGGTAATAGTTTTAAATATTGATCAACAAAAGATGTATAGTGTTTAATAGTCGGGGCCATTACTAATTTCAATATCATTTCTGCTTTTGTCATTCCTTTTACTACAACCTTTGTATAACTGAAATAAAATTACAACATAAAAATAAAATTATAAACATAAAAATTGTTCATAATATTTATTACCTAGCTGGAGCTTTACGGTTATCATCCAGGTTCATTGATGGTAAATCTAATAAGATTGTTTTCAATGAATGTGTATCTAACAATAATTGTTCGGCACCAATATTTGATAACGGCTTGCACTTATACAAATGTTGAATAAATTTAGGAATGAAAGAGCTAAAAGTTAAAATGTACACTAATAAACATTTTATTGGTTTATATTTTTTATATCACATGTACACATTACTGTTATTAAGGTTATTAGCATTAGTATATACTACATGGCAATGGTTACAACAGTATTAATAATTAATTCCAGTATAAATTTATTGAAAATAATGAAATTTATAATCTGTACTTAATGACACAAGAATAAATGTCTAAGGTATTTAAACATATTAATATATAAATAAAACAGTTTAATATAAATTATACTAGTAAATGTTACATTTAAAGAAAGCAGCCACCCTTTAGTGACACTTTTGTTTGCAAGTATAAATTTATAAAGTACTAAATATTTTTAATTAGAATTATATATGATTAATGATGGTGGATTGGTGCTGTCTATAAATTTCTAGGTTTGTCCCCACAGAAAAAAAATATATTTACACCACTGTAATATTCCATAGAAAAACATAAACTATATTTAACTATGTATAATGGATAAGTTTATAAACTATAAAATCAATGACTAGAATAAACATTGGTGTTATTAACTTACTTGGCAAAAGTGATACAGAACTTTGTAAAATATTTTCTAGATGTTGATAAATATGTTCGAACAATAGGAACAACAGTTCTTAAATGTGTGGTCATAATTGAAATATATTCACTTTGATCACCAACTGCTGTAATATTTTGCCAAGGAACCTAAAGCAAATATAAAGGAAATAACAGTATACATGTTTAACTATACAATCCGAACAATTTAAATTATTTACTTTGGTCATATTATTTAATGCAGGTTCTAAATCAGCTTCTAAATGTTGAACCAAAAGATTAATAGACATAAAAATAATGCTGAAACAAAGATAAAATAGCATGAAATATATATTTATGATTGATAAATGACTTTATTACTTTTGAAATAAATCATTTTCATTGATCATACTAATTTTTGGAACTAAGGAAGGGTCAATTTTTTCTTTTAATTTTTCTTCTAATTGTTGTGTTGTTTCCATACAGTAATCAGCAGTTGTAAGTATACTTAAAACAAATTAAACATCCTATGTGTATTATATTTATGATTTAAATTTTTAGTAGTTTACTTACCAACATATTTTAGCTAATTCTTGTGGTGTACAATTTATATTTTTAACACTAGTTTCAGTCATCCCACTTGGAAGAAGTTGTAAATCCTTAATTAGGTCTTTGGTCATATTTGAAACATTTGTAGTTAGGGAAGTAGCTGGATGACTTATTCTATCAATAAGTTTTAAATGTAGTATAAAAATAAGATTTATGATACTTGATATAATGTTAAAATTAAAAAATATAAATTTTTTTACTTTGGTAAGTTAGCTTCTAGTATTTTAGTCGCATATTCTTTAAGGTATTTTTGAAATACAGTAGCTAATGCAAGCATTGGATTATGATTACTAAGCTCAGTGCATTGTACTAGTGACTTCTTGTAAAACAGAAATAAGTCAGCACAATTTGGTAGAACACTAGCTGTTTGGTCATCAATATTTTCTTTTGCCAATGTAATCTTATTGTCACTTACAAAACGCTCAATCAGTTCTGACAGATTTCTTTAAATAAATAAAATTAGTTAAAAATCCAAATATATATTATTTTAATTATGTTTATAGATTTAAATTAAATACTTACTTATCTACACTATCAATATAAATATAGAGAAATGGTTGAAAACAATCACTTATCAAACCATAAAATGGAGATGAATTTTGTTTTGTTTCATTTTTTTCTGTTAGTGATGGCATACTTTCCAACACATCAGATATTTGTAATTCTTCTGAAAATGGTTGAAGAATATCTTCAGTCTCAGTATTAATTATTGGTTGCTTCTAAAAAAAGACAATTATATAGATAATAAGATCATCTATCAATAAAATATAAATACCAACAGTTATATTCTTTAAAGATTTTTCACAATTTTGAACAATAGTATTGCCATTAAAAGTTTTTGCCATCAAATTTTCAAATGCAACAGTTTTTTGAATTGCATATAGTAAAAGTTTGACATCAATCTCATTTTTTCGTTTAACCATCAGTTTAGACAACTCATTTCTAAAAATTTAATTTGTGGATTTAAACTACTCAGAAAATTTTTAAATAATACATTTTACATACTTGGTAATTTTACAAAATTCAACTGCAATTCTTTCGGATAACTCCCAATGGACAGGAAAAATAGCCCTAAATTTCTCTTCACATTGTAAAAGTTGTCGTTTAAACCAAGCATATCGTTGGTTTAGTTTATCTAACCAGGCAACATCTTCTGTACTATCAAATAAATGTGTATACTCAGAGAGTTGAATGTCTATAAACCATTCTAATAATTCATCTCTGAGAAATAAAAATTTGTAAAATTTATAAATATTTGTTACATATTATAATATATAAATTTCATACTTGACTTTTGGTTCTAGAATTGAAACTACTAAACATGCTTCAGTCATTTGTCTGTTAGGTACAAAATTTTTTGCATTTGGTCCTGAAAATGCTTCTCGAAAATCTGCCATGATTTGTGTAGCTAGTGATGTTTGTAGTTGTTTTACCTATTAAAAATTTAGATAAATTATAAAAAAAAAGTAGAAAAAAAAAATTAAATAGTTACTTCAGTAGCTAATTGAGCAATATGAGGTATATCTGTGTAGTTCTTGAAATGTTTCATAACATCAGTTACACCTTGTAAAGGCATTACAATTTCTCCATATTTACGTTTTGTAGTCAAACCTCTATATATAATTTTAAATTAAATAAATTGTAAACATAAAGAAAGAGAGAAAGAGTCTTTACATTTTTGTTTGTCATCATTAAAATTTTTGGAAATCATTGACAACTTTATCAAATAATTATAAATTTAATTCAATGTCAACTATTTTGATTATCTTAAACTCAAAATAAGTAAAGTATAATGTTAGATACTTAAAAAACTTAAGATAGCCAAAAGCATAAATTGTTAAAATTGAATTATTGAAGTTCATAAATATTTAAATACTTAAGAAAATATTAAGGCATATGCAAGATTGGATAAAGAAATATGTTATTAGATGAATAAACACAAAAGAAACTAAACATGAGAAAAAAGCTAACATACCTGAGTGACTCAATACCAGAAACAAGCATATGCAGATTATTTAGTGTTGTAATAGAAGTAGTTAGATTCTTTTTGGCACAATCTAATTGTTTAATATCTAATGTTATTTCTTTAACAATTTCCTCGCTATGTTCAGCTTTCTGTTTGATCTCTCTAATCTGACTGAAAAGGTGTTTGATATAACGTTGGGCTTCTTCAAGCTCAGCCTTACCATCCTATATAGACAATTATTAGAAATACTAATATTTATTTAGATATTTTTTTGATGAATTTTACCTTGTTAACTTCAATTTGTCCTCTAATAACTGATCGAATATCATTATCAATGGAATCTACTTTACATTCTAGTGAATTAATTACATCATCGATATTGGTAAGTGACTGTTCAGTAGGAAACAGATTGTTGATGTAGTCTATTGTGTCAAAATCTGGTTTATCTAGAGGATCATCGCTTGGTAATATCTATAAATAACAATATTCTTTCAAGTATTGAATAGAGTACAATATAATTAATGTGTACATTATATCAAAGTGTACCTCATCTATTGCTCTTTGAACTTCTACCGAGTATACCAATGTTTCAGTTTTACTTATATCAATTTTTTCATCATTGAGTGTTGACATTATTAAAATGTAAACCAACTATTTATTGTAATTTAAAATGTGAAAAAAATTTATATTTAAAATTTTTGTGTAAGCCAACACTACACAACACAGAGCCACAGAAAGTTAGACGACTAAATTTAATTCTTCATATTATCCACATTTTAGAACATGCCAAATAGACAATGGACTTAAATAGTAAATACTAAATAGTAAATAGCCAATGCCACTAAATTAAATATTATAAATTGTACTATGATAAAAATTGAATATCATATCACAGAATTCTGTGATAAAATTATTATCTTTTATCAAATATATGATAAGGAGTACTTAACTTAATTTTTAAAATTTCTAGTTTCTACCAAAATGTAATTTAAAACAAATTTACAACTTAGGTACTTACCTAGTTCTCTAGCTAATAAAACTTTGTATCTTAAAAACAATAACTCAATATCGTTTTTGTTCTGAACCAAGCGATGAAATGAAGATGAATGTATACTTTTTTCCTGTTCATCATCACATTTTGTTTTTGGAACAGTTAAAATGATCGATTTTCAACTTTAGCAGAGGCTTATAGTAGCATTTAGATCGAGTTATGATAGGGGTTAAAGTTAAAAGTACCTAATATTTTTTTAAATAATTAAGCAATCGGAAATTTTTACGCAAAACTAATATTTGTCTTAATCGATAATGATATTTGGTTGTAACACTTATAACTCATAAAACAATTGTATATATTTGACATTTTCATTAAATATTTTAATTATATTTAATTATAATTCCTATACATGCGAAAATTTTCAAAATATTTTGAATTTGTTTGAGCTATTTATGGACGTTTAATATATTCAATTTATTTTTATTTTTATTAAAATGTCGATAAAAATAATAAAACATTAAGTAAAAATACCTGAAAATGTAAAACAAGATTCCTTTTTAGTTTTTCTATCGACAAAAAAAAAAAAAAAAAAAACTGTAAAATGACTGCAATTTTGATAACCGTTTGATATTTAAAGTTTTTACAATATTGGTCAATTACCTACCCATATAATAACCACTTGTCTTCTCATCAAACAATTTTTGATATTTTATTGTAATTTAAAATCAAATAACTGTAGATATTTGAAATCACAAAATGATTGTGTTAGCTTATCTCACAAATAATACAACTTTCCAAGTATATTGACTTTTTAAGAGTTATTTAAAGTCATTTGAAATTTTATAATTGTTTTAGTTTTTGTCTTTAATTGTTCATATGAAATTATTTGTCGATTCAAAATTCTTAAAAACGTTAAGCCTCTACATGAGTTGTTTTAATATTTGTATACAATTATTAAAAAATTATAGAGACAATTCTTTTTATGGGCATTTTAAATTTAAAAAAAACTAATTTAAATCGAACTAATTCACTTTGGAACAACTATTAAGTAGAACAAGAGGTATCTCAGATATCTATTCTAAATAGATAATATCAATAAATACCATCTTATCATTATTATCACATTTTCCTGACTGTTAAATATTAAATAATTTAAAATATTTTAAATTTAAATTTTTAATTATTTGAAATTGAATTAAATAGGTACATATTAAGATTTTTAACTTATAATTCTATCAACAATATTGAATACCAATCATAGTATGTATGAATACTTAATTTAGTAATTTTTTTCTGTTTATTGAGTTATGAAGTGACATAACGTATCCAATGAATTACATTATTACATCCATATTTTTGTGAATGTTTAACAATGATGACTTCTGATATTGAATGTTTGAAATGGAATACAACAAATTTTAAACCATCTAATGGTAAAGATTCTATACTTAAAAGTCATGTATTATATGTTTAACTAGTATTTTTTTTTAGTTTTAGACTATACAGAATACACTTTAGCGCTGGAACCGTCACATTGGCTAAGCTTAAAGACAAAAGGCCATACAACAAAATTATCTTATTTAGGATTAACACAGAGATTAGCATCTTTAGACAACCTTAATAATTTATATGTATATGATTGGTCAAAAGATGATTTAAAAACTATAAGGTAATTTAATAAAAGTATTTAATTTAAGTAGTCTTAAATCTTAATATTTTACATACCTACTTATTATAGATCAAAATATGATCATAATAGTAAACTTACAAGTTTGGCAAGCAACTCTTTAGGAAATCAAATAGTTACATGTTCAGATAACGGAAAAATCCAATTGTGGAACTTTAAAGTATTATTTATTTATATTTGCAGAGTTATTATTTTTAATTTAATAACATATTTTAGTTTTCAAGTTTGAAGATGTTAACTGAATTCAAAGGACATTATCAATGTGCACGTAATGTTGAATATTCTGTTGACAATAATTATTTAATATCTTGTTCCAACGATAAAACATTTAAAATATGGGATTGTCAATCTAATAAGTTTGTTGCTAGTAATATGTTTCATCGTAATTGGGTTAACGTAGCAAAGTTTTTCAAAGAAGACAAACTTGTCGTTTCCTGTTCAAGAGATTCGTATATACAAGTTTTTGATTGTTGTTCAGGAAAATGTGTTATAAATTTTAACCTGAGTCCAGGTAATAATAAAAATGACTTAAAACTTAAATCAAAAATGAATGTTAAAATATTTCTATACATTTAATAGATTTTGCTGAATCACTTTCACTAAAAGAAGAGTTTTCAATAGCAGTGGGTACAAAACTGGGGTCCATTCAAATTTTTGATTTGAGAGCTTTAAAAGTTTTACAAAAATACAGTGAACACATTAGTCAAGTAAATTGTGTTTGTTATCAATATAGGACTCCGTGTTTGGTCTCTGTTTCAAAAGATAAAAAATTAAATGTAATTTACTCAACATCAATTAAACACAAAACAAATAATAACTTATTACCACTACTTTTCAATTTTAGGTTTATGATACTAATGAAGGGAGATTTTTGTATTCAATTGATCACTTTAGTGAAATAAAATCAATGGATATTACCTCAGACGATAAATTACTTGCAACAACATCATTTCATTTTGAAAATGAGGTAATAAACATAAGTTTATGTTAATAATAATAATTATATGAAATTTTTATTTCAGATAACCTTATGGAAAGCAGAGACACTGCAAATGTAAAGGTTCTATACATTTAATATTCCAAGACTTCAGTGGTACTGTGTAAAATTTTTGTCTGTATATATTATGTATTTATACAAAATATTGTTTATCAATTATAAAATAAATGAATAAAATGAAACAGTGTTAAATAAAAATACATTAATAATTTAGTTAATTATAAAACCAGTTTTTCATTTTAAATTTTATAATTTTAATAAATTTAAGACTTTTTTATTTTTTTCTACTTTATGTTTGTATAAAAATAATCATAACATTCATAACTTTTAAAATGATTTTTAAATCAGTGGTTTTTTAATATTATTTTTAGAGTAGCAATCTATTCAATTATAATTTACAACTGTTTTTTTAGCATAATTATTTCTCAAGGGTAAAAGTGTGCTAACTGATATAAAATTCCCTAATTGTTTCATTTTTTTTTTACCTCTATAATTTTAATTATTAAAATTAAACTAATCAGCAAATCTTGATCAAAATTGTTTTTTATGTATTAAATTTGAAGCTTTAGTATAAAAATTTAATTAATTAGTATTTACTTTTAATTTTATTAAAAGTTCATATTAATGACAAATGTTAAATACTTATATTGGTAATTTTGAATTCAATTTTGCTTATCAATTTCAGACATGAAATAATATAAAAAGATGCCTAGTGTACTCTAGAATTTCTTAATTTTTAGGATTCTTTAGAATCTAAAGATTTTTTTTATAGTTAATACTTATCCGTATTTAAATCAAAAGTACACTAATTACTCTTAATTTTTTAACACATTCCTCTATTTTCAAAAATTTTAAATTATAAAAATATATACTTTTTTTTCAATACCTTCCACGTTGCTGGAATCCATGTATACCACTTGTATGTAAATTTTTCTTTTTTATCCTTATTAACATTTTAAAAGAAATTACTTTAAAATTAAAAATAATTCCTGGGCTTAAACTCACACTAGCCATCTATACTCTGTCTCAAACTAGAATACACCATTTATACGTACTTTTATTCCCTTCCACTGGTTGGTCACTACTAATGTCGTTATGTGGGAGATGCGTGTTGCCAGATGGAAGTCACCACCTGGTGTTTCTACTGAGACAGAGTATACTAATATATAATTATATTGTGTACAAGATATTTTCAAAAAAATTTATTCTTTAATTATTAATACTTTTTACATATTATTTATATTAATTTATACTTGAAGTACAATTTTAATTGAGAAAAAAAATTAACATTTAATAAATATGTTAAATAAGAAAAAGCGTAATTAAAACATTAACGCTTATATTTCTCTGATCATAAAAATAAAACCTTTATTCAAATTATAGTGTTTATTGTAGTGATAGAAATATTGGTTACAATCTTGTAATCTCAACTAATTGCTCGAAATTGTGTAATTACACATATTGGTGAAAAGTTGTTGTTTGTCGTTGTTTAATGTGTGTAATGCAGTCGGTGTTGTTAATAGTTCAACGACACTCATGTGTAAAAGTATCATTGTATACATTCTAATCAGATGGTCTTTTTTCACCAAACTTTTTGGCATAATCTTCAGCATTTTTAAAAAACTTCTTACGATCTTTCAAGTATTCTTCTGCTAATTCCGCACGTAGAGGATGTTCTGGTTCAGGATCATTGACTAGGGCTATCAGCGCTTGAATAACTGAAAATGTTAAAACATAAATATAAAATTTATTGATCACACTGTTGAGCAAAAAAAAAAACAGTTTTTAAAAATTAAAGATACCTTGATCAGCTTTGGTAGCTGGTTTCCAATTTTCAGCACTAATGATCGGCAAACAAACCTGACCTTTTTCGTCAATGTTAGGATGATAAATTTTAGTTTTAAAATTGATCTTAGGCGGTTTAAATGGATACTCTGCAGGGAAATTAATTTCTATTCTAAATGCTCCTTTATTATATGGGGGATTTTCCTGAAAAAAATAGTACAATACAATTAATGATTGACATTTACTAAGTTTATAAATCATTGTTTAAAATATTTATTATTTTATATATTTACAGGTAGAATCAGTCCTTGCCAAGCTAATATATTTGTTTCATCAACTTGAATATCACGGAATGACTTAAGTCCAGAATCGCGAATATCTGCAAGTTCCTAAGACAAAAAACTGAGCTTATTATACATGATTAATTACAAAGCTTAGAAATATATTTTCTTAAACAATAAAAATTTAATTAAAAATTATTATTCTATAATATGGTTTTTATGACTTAACAAATACTACTTAGATAAATGGATAATCATTTATGTATAATATATATTATAGTTGAGTGGTAGATTAATCTAATAGGTATTAGGTAATTTTATTTTATTTTATATAAGTTTTATACATTATGAACACAATCTTTATTAATTAGTGTAAGACAATGAGAAGTATTTTAGAAATTAGCTAATGATTTTTAATTGTATTTAAGTGTAAAGACAAATAATACATGTTTAATATATATATTTACTCAAGTTTCATTTGCAGTTATTTATTATACATTTTAAAACCAATGATAATAAGAAAACTACTTTTCTAAATTTTAATTCATAATTTTTTTTACAATAAACGGTATGTTTCATTTGATATAAATAAATTACTTATAAGGGTAGTGTTATAAATATTAACACCTTTGGCAAAACCATAGATTTGCACCCTCTTCTTCTCCCAATAACAAATTATAAAATTTGTTTTTAGATATAAACTTTAAAAAAATAAAATAAAAATGATAAGGACTTTATATAAAACACTACAAGATCTTTAAGGTAAAAATTTATATTTTAAAAGAATAGATAAATAAAAAAATATCTATTCTCAGTTTAAAATTATTAGCTACTTATATATACATATTTAAATATATTGAGGTACCCCTTCTTTATAGCATATGCTCTGGTCATCCTCCTTAATACCAATCATAATTAATATCCATGTAATCAAATAATTCAAAAGGTATAAATATAGATATCTTAAGCACGACTACCAAAAATGTTAACTTACATAATATAATATAGAATAAATGTTATACATTCTAAAGGACAATACTGTTTCATTCTAAATTGATAAAACTGGTAATTCACATTTAAGCAGTCTAGATACAAGTTATTAATCAATAGTTATAAGTACTATTGGTACTCAAATTACTTAGATGTGGCATAAACATTTAATACATTAACTATTTTTTAAAACAAATTAATGAAGTCCAAATGTATTTTGAATAATACAATTAAAACTCATAATACATCATTTTTTAGTTGACTGATTACAACTCCAATTTAAACTATTCTGAACAGAAAACAATATCAAGACAATGATATATTAATTAAAGTAATGAATAACATGAAATTTCTATTTAAGACATAAATAACCTATTAATACGAATAAAAGATAGTTAATGAATTTCAAACTGATCTGATTATATTATAGGTATTTACCTATAAATTACATTTTCTGATTTACAATTTTTACTTTTATGACGCAGTTTACAGAAGGAAAAAAAAATAATAATAAAACAGTCAATTATTTACAATACAAGATATATATTTTAAAATACATAAATAACTCAATTGTTTGTGCAGAAGAAAACCGACTGGAGTGAGTGTAGCATCAAGTGTCCTATATTAATTTGATCATGTCAATGATAAAATTAGTGATCACTAATCAACAGAAATGGACAAATGTTAAGTTTTTTTAAATGAATTGCAAATGGAGAAAATACAGAATAATATTACACTAGGTACACTGTACTCAGTATGTTATGAAGTATTATAAATTTATAGCAGCGCAAAACGGGCAATACTTTAATTATTAGTTGAACAATATAATGTCACATACATGATATATAGGCATTTAATCAATTATATACACATATATACATATATTATAAGACATAAACATTACAATACATGTAATTTATTGTACTTACTTTTTGAAGTCTCCTCGTAGCGGCCATGGTATATATACTAAGTTTTCAGATGAGAAACGAAACGAGACAAATATTGTGCACTGTAAAATCTAAAAACGAAGGCCGTGTTCGCTGTTCCGCACGTATACCATAAAATCACAACACATGCATATCAATACAATTTTTAATTGTTCGGATGTTTTAAAATAATTAATAAACCCACGGCGGGCCCTGCATAAGCAACGTTGAAAACTAATATAGTATTATAATTTATAATTAAATTAAGTAAAAATAAATTTCCACTTTTGATAATAGTCTGGTGGGCACCAGAATGTCCTGGTCTCGATGACTTCACGTCTCTTACCGATTCTAGTTTCTTCTCTTTTTTCTCTCACTCTTTTTGTTTTTTTTTTTATATAATCAGAAATACGCACTCTGTGTCAGTGTAGACAGATCTGACGGCACTAAATTTCTCTAACGGCAATAATTTAAATTACCACCGCGAATTCGTCTGTCATTTTCCATACGACGACAACTTTTGAAAATTTTAACTCTCTTTATACAAATAACAAATATACAATTTAATATCAACCATAAATATTAAATTTTGCGTGACATAAAATTTAAGGTATTCTTAGGTACTTTTCATATTTATTTTTCTGTTTCCTACTTTTATTTGATAATTTATTCTTGAATTATGTAATCTATATACAATGAAATAAATAAAAATATTTTAAGTCAAAACTATAGCACAAACATGAGAGAATTGTTTAAGAAGCCATCTAATAGCGACATTTAGATTGAACAGAAATGTTGACACATGAAAATATATAAGAGTATAAGACTATTAGAATTAAAAAAAAAGTTAAAAATAAATTAGGTAATATTATAATTTATAAACTAAATAATTTTTAAAATAATATACTTACTAGTCCTTTACTTGACGTAATTTTGTACACATTTTACTTATAATAAAAAACAATATAATATATATATACATAATATAGGTATATTAATATATTATATATAATGAAATCAATAATCAAATCAATTATTAATGATATAATGCAATGAATGCTTTTGACATATAATATTTGTTTAATTAATTTTTAGATAAATTAAATTTATTATTAAAAAATATTCTTTGGTATTTTATAATACCTGAAAAATAAAAAATAAGAAAGTGTGTACCAATCATGTAGCATATTTTCAATTTTTTGTGGACGGGGGGGGGGGGGTCTTAATATTAAATATAAGTTTATAACATTATAATAAAATACATACAAGTTATGATTTAATAATAATATTATTTATATTATATTATATTTCACTATTATTATTAAAATAAATGTCAATTAATAGTTAAACGTTAAACCCAAGTTATTTTTAAAAATATTGTAATACAAACATTAAAAACACATAATATAAATTAATATTATTTTTCTCGATACCACGTAGCAAACTATTTATGATTTTTTAAATTATTTTTTTCTGGGGGGGGGTCGAGACTCGGGGCGCCCCCCCCCCCCGTAAATACGCCACTGCCAATCACATTGTTGTATGATAGGTGTAGACTGTAAAGTGGGTCACTTTAATGAATGTGATAAATTTAAATTTTATGACTAGGGCTAGAGACTTCATGATCTAAAAAACCTTAAAATATGCATGAATTTATGCTTTTAAAAATGATCATAATATAAGCTCTAAAGTATGCAAAAATGCTAAAATATGTCATTAAAAATGTTTATTTTTCATTGAAAACCAAAAACTATAAATTTATTTATTATTCAATAAAGCTTATTTAATTTAATTTTTTTAATAAAAAATTGCATTGCGTCTAAAATATTATACTAACTATGTATATTTAACGCTAAACGGAAACACGTACGATACCAACAGACGAATAATTAACATCAGTCATCAATTGACCGTATGCAGCAAATTCCTTATCGACTGACGATGTTCATACTTCATAACACACACATAATTGGGAAAACACGCGGTAGATAGATTATTTAATCATTTATATTTAAATATTTTAATCTGTTTTTTTTTCAATTTCTAGAAAATTAATATTAAATATTCTATAGTACCTAGTACCTACCTGGCTACCTACATATAAAAAAATATTATTCTCTATGTCATATATTAAAATACAAATATTATAAAATATGCACTTCAAAAGAAAAAAAAGAGCTGAATATGCAAAGTAAAAATAATTGCTTTAAACTTCTAATAATATAAAATAAATTTCTGTATTACATAGCTATGTTTTAAATGATAAAAGTTCCTAGCCTTATTAATGATGTAAGTTATACATCATAACTTGTTGTCATTGTATACCTACAAAGTACCTAAGATTTTAAGCAAAGAGTTGAGACGGTCTATCAGCTTATATGAGCGATTGTAAACTCGGCCTGAGGAAAAAAAATTTTGAAAAAGTCTATTGTAAACTCGGCCCGTAGTTTTTTCAGGTAAAAATAATTTAGGTGTAAACTCGGCCCGAATAAAATTGTACAGTTAATTTTCTTATAATATTTTTGAGAACCATTTGGCATTACCCAGAGGACACCACAAGGAGTCGATTCTCATTATCCTCCAAAAATTATTTTCATTTTCATACTATAATTATTCATAGAATAAAATTCGTTGTATAAATTTAAATGTTCTTAAGTGTGTATTTGTAAGTGTAAAAAATGTAAAAATATAAGTAAAACTGTTGTGTAAAATATAAGTAAAAATTTTAGTATAATAATGTAAGTATAAATCTATTTTTTTAAGTAAAAATCCATGTGTTCAACATATTCACTCACTGATATTTCTTTATTTTTATATTTTGTAAGTGTTTTTTCTAAGAGTTCTCTTTTTTTTTTAGTTTTTGTATTTTGAAATTGAAATGGTGCATCTAGGCTGTTGATTTTAATGTACGTTTCTGTTTGTAGTTCTTTTAATTTTGCAGTGATGGCATAAATATTGGGGTGAGTAGAATTAAAACTTATACTTAAACTTAAATATTAAAGGGGCGAGATTACAATTTACCTAATTTATAGCCTATAATTTTTGGGACCAAGTTTACAACAAAATAGGTAACCAAGGGCCCAGTTTACATTTGCCTGCTTATATAGTAAATTTTATGTTATGTTTTCCGATATTTTTGATAGGTAAGGCCTAATTTATTTAACAATTAGTAATACAATATTATGTCGAATACTTGAATTAATTTTAATGTCCTTCGAATAATGCTTTTGAACTATCATAAAACAATGAATATTGTTATTAATATGATAGTTTAAATGTGTAATTTCATTACATTTTAAGTGTACATAAAAAAAATTATGATTTATATTTTTTAGTTTCAGTATGAATTATTTGTAAAGAACCTTGAATTAAATTTTCAAATCTTAGATATAAAAATGTATTTTATAAATTACTAACTATAAAATAATTTGAAAATTTTCGAGATTTTATATATTTTGTAGAAAGTCTGTACTTAAACGCTTATAAAAAAATAAAATATTGTAGCTGAAAATGTTTGATATTTTTTAATTGGTAATTGAACAAAATATGATCCACTTTGTATTAAATTTTCAAACATTTTTCTCATTAAAACAAAAAAAAAAAAAAATAAAATCGATTTTGTTAAAAACTAAATTTGCTTAAATATTCACAGTTTTCTTTGATTTAATTTTTTCTTCTTAGTTATTTGGAAAAATACTGAGAATTTTTATTTTTAACCTCTAAAGTACAAGATCCAATTTTTATCCAAACCACCTTCAAAGTTGAAATTTAAATAATATTTTTTCAATTATTTATCGTATATATACTTGTATAAACAAAATAAACATAAATCATTGTAAAAACAATACATTCATTACTCTATTCTGAATCTAAATTCTAAAATATTAAAGTTTTTTTCCAGTTTTCCGATTTCTTCGCAGAAATAGTACAAGTGTAAATACAACTGGTATTTGGATCTTTTGAAATATTTAGTGTTATATCGTTTATCGATGATCTACTGGCTATTTCATTAGTTAATGCTTTAACAGCTAGTCAGGTGTCAACTATATAATTAATAACTGATGTATTAATAATAAATTTATTAATAATTATTTTAAGCTCAATTATACTTCTTCTATGATATATACTTGTTCAAAAAAATGAATAAATTTGTCATTTAATAATATTTTGGTTCGGGTAGCTTTGAAAATATCGGGAAAATGTATTTTTTGTATGCGATATCATAAATTATTATATTCATGTTGTTATATAATATTACTGAGTACTGGTAAATATTTAAAGCAGGGTCCATTTTAATTAAGACACTCGCTATTTCAGAAAACATTAATATTTTATTAATACTATTTTTTATGGTTTTTGTTTTTTAGTATTTTACTCTTTGGTTTTTGATTGAAAACATTAATTTATAAATTCAATCTACAATAATCAAATGTCGGGAAAGTAATTTATGACTTTATGAATTATAAATATTTAAGATGTTGATGAACAAAGTTTAAATTATCAAAATATGCATAAAAATGCATTATCAATATTTTGCGGTGTATTGCCACACTACTCCATTACATTCATCTAAACGTAAAAAAAGCTTATAGTTTATAAGTTACTCGTTTGAAATTAAATTTTTATGCATCGAAGTACTCAAAAAAATATTTTATTTGGAGATAAAGATTTAAAAATGAATATTGTCATTAAAAACAGCTAAAAATCTAAACAATTATAATGAATTAATATTATACGTGAAAAAATATTTTCAAAAATATTCATAGGTTTTAAAATGATAATTGTTATGTAAAACAAGTTTGTAGTTCTACGTATTTAGATTAAATTATTACGCACGAACATTTAAGTTTTGATTCATACGTTGTTTAAAAAAACTGTCCAGTCATAAATGATTTATTGTTGAAATTATGTTAATCCGTTGAAATTACTAGAACCCGTTCTACCTATGGACTATGACTCATCAGATGTAGTTACTACAATAGCTAACCTACAGATCAGTAACGGAGTGGGAAGAAAATATTATAACATAATAAAACGCATAAACAGTATATAATACGAAGTTTTGTAACTATACATCTAGTGTGTGAATGTTCCAGAACACTATAATATTAGGATTTAGGAAGTCGTTTTTTAAAACCGATTACCTACCATAGAATACCTCGTACCTCGACTTACTTCGTAAGTACATAAAAAATAATAAATTTTTACATAGTATACTTTATAATATTACTAGTAACTTAAATTTGTAATTGAAACAATTTTTAATATTTAAAATATTGTGCTAATATATAGTAATGTACATAATACAGAATAGAGACAATAAGTATAAATGTATATTTTTAATTTTAATTTTTGAACATCTCGATTTACTAATTACTATTAATAAGAATAAAATGTTAGTTGAAAATGTGTAGAAGTATATTTAAAAAAATATCAATTCCATTTTCATTTATTTTTAATAATTTTACGAGAAATATTTTTCATTAAAATGTATTTTAATTAAAAATAGTAAAAAAAAATTCTTAATTTTTAGAACAGCGTAATATTATAACAGGCTCATGATCCATAGTAAGTTTGAATTGTATGTTTTTGTTTTAATAACAATACAATAATTATCTGTGTAATGATTAAATTATGACAGGAGTCAAATTCTTTGTTTTTACACAAACCTAGTTATCTAAATTAATATTGAAATACCTAGGTATAAAGGTTAAACAAACACAAAGATAATATATAATTATAAAATTATTCTAAATACTTTAATGAATATACTATTAAAAAAAAAATTAAACTCGAAAGAATACAAATAGTAGGTAGAACGACTAAAACGTAGATATTTTATCACAGGTAAACACCTATTAAACATATATTACAAAAAGGTATATTATAACATAATATACATTTATAAATAAGTAATTTTAGTAAATTTAGCTTATAATTATTAAAGTTGATATTTAATATATGTTAATATTTTATAGATATTTACATTTTTTAATAATGGGGCTTTTGAAAGTTGCTCTTGTATTGATGATCGTTAGCTGTTCATCTTTGTACTCTGTGAAGTGTCATTCATATCATTTCGGCCAATGTCCAACTCTCGAACCAATGGCTGATTTTTCAATGGATAAGGTAATAATAATATTATATACCCATAATGAGTAACTTATTAACTTAATATCATACTATGATATATATTGATATTTTTTTTCGACAAGTTACTGTAATATAATTAAATAAACCTTATATAATAAGCACATGTGATTAAAATATATAGGTACATATTTGTAATATAGGCAGGTTTAGTTCATTAGTAAAATGAATAGAAATAGATTTAGACATAAAGTATTTAATAGGTAATTGATGAAGTGTATATTATTGTGTAATAAAACCTGGTTTTTTTGACACAAGGAAGTAGAAACAACTGCACAAGTCAATAGTGGCACTATTGGCATTAATATTCATTTTTATAAGGGTGCCATTTTTTTAAGGATGACCAAATTATAGAGGGTGCGAAAATTAATCTTGCTTATGTGTATAAAAATAATTAGTATAGGCCTTAAGTGAAATATTAAAATGACTAACAGGATAGGTAGCGCAGCATAGTTAAGTATTAATTTTATTAAAGTCAAAAAAATAATTAATTACTCTTGCTTCTGGTTTCCTGGAATAATAGACATTTGCGGGTGCAACTAAATGTAGAATGTTCACTCGGGGGTTTTATTTCTTATATTAGTAATTATTCTCTCTAAATTATTTTAATGTTTGTAAAATATTTTTATTGAAAATTTAGATTATTGTAATAATAAAAAGTAAAAACGATAATGTTTAAAGGACAAATAGTTAGTAATATACATTTAGTGTACGCATCGTGTATGTATAAATATTAAATAAAAAATACTTCTATTATATGCTTTAAGTTTTAAATTAAATTTTATTAATGATATACCTAGGCATGGGCGCCCATAGGTAATATTTTAGGGGAGGTCAAAATAAAAAAATTTTCGAATGTAAGATAATAAAGATATTTAATGTTATTTTTCACATATAAATGTATACACTATACATGCATGTTATATTTATATATATATATATAGTGTATTAATATAATAATTGCCATACGAATAAATAAATATATAATAATTGTCATATGAATAAATAAATAAATAAATAATAATTGCCTTACGAATAAATAAATAAATAAATAAATAATAATTTTAATAAGTATATAAAAAAATAGAAATTAAATAATGTAATTAAGTATATTATTCGGTATCAGTAAATAAGAACTGTAAATTTCTTCATTTTATTCCAAACATATTAATGACATCCTGAATGAAAGTATCCTTGTTTGCGTTAGGTTAAAATATTTGTAGTACCTATATTGTGATCTTTATAGATTTACCACAAATTATCTGCGATAAATTATTTTACGTATAGGTTATACAGACTACAGAATACGACCTATCTATGATGTTAATATACGATAACAATGAGTATATTTTTATATTTATTTCATATCTTAAAAGTGATTTCAACAAATAATTTGCCTCGGTAATAAGGTAATATTGTGGTAATATTTTTTCCAGGGGGGGCAAGTGCCCTGTCTTGCCCTCCCCCAATGGGCGCCCATGTACCTAGGTAATACTACTAATACTATAAAGTCTCTAGTTTGATTTGTAAAATACTGAATACTTATCTATCTATATGTAGAAATAATTATTGAAAGTAAATTCATAAAACTACGACACACAGTATTATATTTATATTTAAATATATATGTAGGTATATTTAAAATTTTTTATTTGTATAAATTTGCATTTTTATTTTTTCTAGTTAACCGTATTATATGCTAATTCAGTTACCTCCTAATAAGTATGAAAATATGATTCATATTCATAACTAAATCTACGATTATTTATGTATATCTTGATTTATATTTTTTGACAAACTATTTGAAAATATTTATTTCATAGTAATATAAAAATAAAATAAAATATTCAGTGCAGTTATTTTATTATATCTACACGTAAAAAAAAAAAATAAAATAAAAATCAATGTTTACTTTTACAAAAAATTACGTTTTGATATTAAAGTATTTTTGGTAAGTATATACTTTCAAGTTTAATCAATGCTTGCAGTTTATAAATGATAGCATGGACGTACGAGCCACTAAACTATATAAGTCATAAATCATAATATAGAAATGTTGAACTATAATATTTATATAAGTACTCGAGTTATCGAGTATAATAATATTATTATATTGAGTCAACAATAAATAATAATTCGATGTTTGGAGGCTGATACATTTGTATTATATTAAATTATATTTAGTTACAAGTTATAGTTATCTTTATTGAATTAATAATATTAAATTATCAATGTTGAGACTACTTGTAAGCCATTTACAATTGTGTCAACGTATGTATTGTAAATATACAATGTGTATATTTGAAAACGTGTTAAAAGCAATTTAAAGAACTAGCATTATATTAATACAAAATCATATCAATTTAAATTATTTAATTAAATATAATATATTTGTTATTTTTCGTTTAATTGTGACTTTTATTAAAGGCATCTGTTTCGCTTTTGTAATTTGTCAATAAAAGTCTTTTAATTTCATTTTTTTTTTAAATTATTTATTTATATTGCTAATTAGTAAACTTTATTAATATAAATTATTTAGTGGTTAATTATATTAAGTACCTACATTAATAAATAATAAATTATATCATAGTCCTAATTAATTTATTATACGAACCAGTTGCAATAGAATTTTAGAAATTCACAATTATTAATCCATAATTTATAATATCGTTGTTTTTTATTGAAATTGGTCTTTAGGTAAGTGTATTTTCGATAATATCAATATCTTCCTTCACATATTTAAGAATGATTCAACATATAAAGTTTCAGTAATATGCTTATTTTTATTTAATTTTTACATATAAAATAATAGATATGTTTACGAACGCGCTTAAGACACTATCGGCAGGGTACTTACACTTTAAACACTTACACTTAAAGATAAAATCAATAGATATTCAACTTAATTTCTATTCTAGCAACTTTTTAGATGAGACCAAGATTATAACATTTTATAATCATTGTTTATGCAATTCATTAATTACTTTTATCACTAAGCACAAAAATCTATTTAAGATATCATATACATTATAATATTTAATAACTATATCCACTGAAGTATATTGTATAAAAAAAAAATCTTTAATATTATTTATAAATATACAATAGTTAACTTGGGTCCGAAAGTTATTTTGATCTTACACTCATAACAGTAGTTTATTTTTTGTTTTGATTATCAAAAAAAAATATTTATCAGTCTTTTAATAAATTTAATGATAATTAGAATTTATAAAATTAAAATTAAAACCACTAATGATCCATTAATAAAAATCATAAATTCTTATGTGCCAATTTACTACTGAATTCGCAGTATTTATAATGATCGACAAAAAGCTTAGTTTTTGATAAGCTGGTAGTTTTTTAAATTTGAATGAATATATTTTAAATGTGATTACGAGTGGTAAGTTGTTCATTTGTTGAGACAACATGAGTTAACAAATCTAATATTATTGACACCATTTTTCATAATACAATATAGTAATTATTTAATTGTTAAATGTAATATACGTATTACGTAATACACATTTGTTTATGCATAAATAGTGTAGATATATATTTTTACATAGTGTACTCGTATTACGATAATCTGATACATTTAAATTTAAAATTGTCATAATCGCCATTACCTCCTTGATATATTTTGCATATTATATATATTGTATTTAACAACTAATAAGCAATAGTTAAAAATGAATAATATTGTTACTATGTTATCTAATGGTTATATTATGTTATATTTTTTTTTATTTTGCTCGTAATTTGAGTACCTACATATATTATGAATTACAATTGTTATAGATAGGTACTTTATAAACTATACACATATTATATATAGCGGATGTTTTACTTTTAACTGTATTATATTTGTCTAGCTTTTAGGAAAATGGTATGCAATACAAAAAACATCAACGTCAAGTCGGTGTCTTGAATATAACTTTGAAAAAACAAGCGAACCCAACTCATACAAATTAGATCAAGTGAGCGAAAACTCAATAATAAATGTAGCGAAATCTAATAACTATCATTATATTGGAAATCTAAAAGCGGATCCTAACTTACCTTCGAGAATGATGGTTAATTTTCCATTAAGTAAGTAACTGTTTGACATTTTTATAATAATATGCTATTTCAATCAAAAACAAATAAAAAAATTAAGTTTTTTATTTTTCAAATATATTTAAAATAATGAATTGACTTAGGAAATTTCATTAAAGATTTTGATCTACTCAGAACAGTCAGAACCCTAAATTGTGTATAATAAACTATATAAGCCAAATGTTTCCATAAAAGATTCCATTATCGTTTATAATCGTATACATATAGTCATATAGGTATGAGGTACTTACTAATTAAAAGCATACCCTCTTTACCAACACCAAGTAATCCTTGAACTGTATAGATCTGAAGCGTAAATAGAGTAATGATATTTTACAATAATCATTACATGTCTACAAACAATAAAAAAAATTTATTGTTTTTTGATAAATTTAATGAATTATTAATTCATCTCATGCTTTTTATTCACTTATCACATAATCACATTATATGTTAACTTATTGTTTCAATATTTGATATAGTTTGTACTTTACTGACAAACAATATTTTAATATTAATTTTTTCATATAATAATACAATATTAAAAATCCATTATTTTAATTCTCAATTATGTATAAGTATAAGTAGTACATTAAATAAGTATTATTATTTAAAATCAATGGTTTTATATTCTAAAAAAAATATAAAAATTATATAATTTTTTTTCAACCTTGGATTGAAAACTTTCTTAAAGTTGAAATATATTAATATTAATATACTTTTTCACTTATAGATGTTGCGGGTAAAGCGTCGTTTGTTGTTTTTTCAACAGACTACATAAATTACGCAGGAATATTTTCTTGTCAAAAAATACCACTTGGTAATAGACATTCAGTGACGATTTTATCTAGATCAAAAACTTTAGATAAACAATTCGTAGATAAAGTAAGTTATTTTCACTGAAATAATTAATCAATTATATCCAGTTTAAGTAAAAGTGACATATGCAGTGCCTGTAAAATCTATTCTTATACCGCGGCATAGGCTATTTATTTTCCAACGATAGAGAATGGTGATTTTTTTTACTTATTTTAATATACATGTTTCTAGTTAAATCAATAAAATCAATTAATTATAGGTAGTTTGTTTTCGTGACAAGCAACCAAAATTTTTTTTTTCAACTATTAGTTCAAAAAATGCATATACTCTGACTTCTAGGTTTCATTTTCATATAGGAGTAATAGCAATGAACACCTGTATAAATGTAAATGTAATAATATCAAAACTTTCTTTCAGATGCGTAACCGTATTGCTTCGAGCAACGTCAATCCATTTGACTTAACCATCGTTGATCAAAACAATTGTTCAAACCTTAATACAACGATGCGTGTGGAAATCAATGATCAAACGTTTAGTTCACAGAATATTGGTCAGGCGGTACGCAAAGTAGGATCGAAAATCGGCGACGGTGTAGAGTACGTGATCGATGGCGGTAAAAAAATAATCAAAACAGCGAGTAGATCAGACGATACCAAAGATGATCCTAATAGTGACGTCGAATGGATGCCGTAGATTAATATCGCAATAACGACATTGCATAGATGCATACTACATAAACCTGTTCTTGTTGTAGTTAATAATCGGGAATTATATCTATTCCTATTTATACATAAGTTAAAAAAAAAATTTTCCTACGACTGATAATCAAAAAAATAAAAATGTTAATTTAGTATAGTTTTATTATTTTACTTTACAACTGCAGTTTGTAAAGTAGTTATAAGTAAGATTTTTATTATTTAACTATATATTTATGTATCAATATTAAATATACAGAAATTAAAAATTATTATATATTATTATTTAATTTATCAGTTTTTAAATTTTTGTTCAATTAAAGTTGTAAGTGTATTTATATATTATAGTTAATTAATTTCGTTGGGTTTTCAAAAATTTAAAGTACCTATAAATAAGTTCGGACAAAATGTTTAAAGTTTAAAATTCAGCTTTGTCGCCCCTAGTATATTTATATTATATATATTATTTTTTATAGCAAAACCGTATTTATTATTTCTTTAATACACCACATAATCTGTTAAAAATGTTTCGTATAATATTCATAAAGATTATTAGTTATAATATCAAAATTTTAATGACGCTGCAGGTGTAAGTATGCTTACGTGTTATGTCACCTATCCCTTTAGCCTTTAGATTTCATTAATATATAGAATAAAAAGAATTGGTCCCAAAATACTACCTTGTGATAAATCATATTTAATTACACACGAGCTCCTATTTAATTCATTAATTTTCACTGCTTTATTTCCTATTATGTAAGTAAGTTATAAACCATATTATGCTTGAACTATTTATTTCAAAGCAAGGCAATACATTTAATAGAATATCATGATTAACTATGTCAAAGTCCTAGGCTAAGTCTAAAAACATTGCTATCGATTTATTTTTATTTTCTAAGTTATCTACTTTACAGAAACTAAGATACTTTATAAAGAGCATTATTTGTTTTTAAACCCAACCTAAAGTGGTATTGATTTTTGTTAACAACTATATTTTTCTAAAAAATCTATTAGTCTAAATTCTAAATTTAACAATTTTTTCAAATATTTTTGAAAAATTTCTTAGTATAGATATTGGCCTATAATTATTATTCTACGATTTATCTCCACTTTTAAACAATGGTTTAATAACGACTATATTTTTAAATTATCAGGAAAAATGCTTTGCTCAATACTTAAATTATATATTTAAACAAGAGGATCTATTAAAAATTTGTTAATACTCTATAACATTTTAACTGATACTCTATCCAATCCCGCTGCTGTATCGTCTTTAAAATTATTAATAATTTCTAGTCTATATGACAGCTGAATTTTTTTAAGAAAAACATAACCAAGCAAGTAAATTTAAAATCTATAACCCATTAAACTCTATTTTTATAATCTTATATCATGTAATTGTATTGTATTTCTATTTCATTATGTCATATATATCTCATGTTTATTTTAAGAATATTGTACTCAGATAGTACTGGGCCTCCACACGAATTTTCTCAGTAAGGCCTAATAATCTGTTTGACTTCAAATAAAAAATAAAATCAATTGTAAAAATAGTTATTTGCTATTTGATAATTTAATGTACCTACATGGATACAACATTAATGTTTTGGGCATAGTATTCATCACTTATTCTTCATTTTGAATTTATTGTGTATATAGATAGGTTTAGGTATATAAATATAGTTGTTTTAGTATTAAATATGAACAACTATTTTAATAGAAATCCAAATGAAATTGTATCTAATAAGTGATAACTAGATGGTATACCTATATAATATTTAATTGAAGTATAATAATAAGCATTTTTCTATATTTATTTTTATAAATATAACAATTAACAACATGTCTTAAATAAAATTTAGAATGCAAGTAATATTAGTTATTTTACATAATTTATTAAAATCATGGTACAAATTACTAAAATGAACTATTAGCTTTATTAATAATTCTATATCACCATAATCCAAGGTAAATTTTAGATAAGCAACTACTTATATTAGTTCTAAAATATAGATGATAAAAAAATGTAACTTAGTTATCACAGTTTTGAGTTATTTTAAAAAGGTTAAGATAGACAAAATGTAAATATTTGATGGATTCTATGCTAAATTAAAAATGCTTTCCTAAAACTTTTTCCCAAAATTTAAAGACCAGAAAAACACGATTAATTGTAAAAGTACACCTATAATATTATATTGTCATATAAATTCTTAATTTTGATAATATACAGGTAATAAAAATTGAAGGCGTCAGACCGACGCGACAAATGCGATCGTTAATGTGAAGTCTAGACTCATTTTACCGAAGAACAAATGTGGCATCATATCAATTTCAATAAATATATTTAAAACGGTAATATAAGCTGTATACCTATTAGTTTTTTTTAATTTTCTATTAAAACGTCATTATAATCATGTTAACATAAAAAATCCATCATTAATATTGTGTACTTAAAAACACATTTTTTGATGGAACTTGGAACAGAAATCGTGTCAAACATTCTATAATATGTTATAATCCGTTTAAATTATAAGATACAGACACATGATATAATATTTTTTTCAAGTTAATCTATGTTTTTTAGACGAAGTTCAGTAGACATATTACTAAGAGAAAAAGGATGAACAACAATGAGCTTAAATTACTCCATAAACATTTAACATTTGGATAGTGTAACATAATTTTATAAACTCTGTAGAATCGTACATATTTGTATACAAAAGTAGATTAGATTGATATAAATTAAAAACAGATTACAATTTTAGACTTAAGTGTAGAACATCGATAAGTGATATGATGTTTACAAAATAATATTTTGTCGAAATCTGGTTTTCCTATTTTTTATTTTTTATTTTTTTTGTTATTTTCAATTATTTTATAGGGAACTGAGAAGTTTTTACTTTTTACTCTACAAAGTACAAATTAGATATAATTCGCAACTTAAAAATTGAAGATTAAACTATTGTTACTGTTATAAAATCCAAAATACGATAAATCTATTTAGAATTTAAGTTTTCAATGTATTTTATTGATTAGATGTACTGTAAAATTTACCAATCTGCAAAACATATAGGCAAGTTAAAAATCTAAAATATTTGTACAATATACATTAAATAATACTAAAACAATAATAAATAATATTGGTTATTTGTTTTCAATTTGTATAGTTAATAAATGTCAATTAATTCAGAGTTACATTCATATAATTATGTAATTATTAGGCTAAAGTTCAACAAAAAAAATATGAGTAATATATACAAAAATACATTTTATTAATAGGTACATATAGCCATATAGGATAATATTTAGTTATTGGATCAATCAATTGTATAACACGACATAATCATCTTAGCTATAAAACATAATACATTAATATTCTTCAATTTACTAACATGTAAGAGATTTATATATTATTAATTATTAATAAATAATTGTTTTATTGTATAGTTTTTACTTTCAATAGTATATTGTATTCAATAAACATGTACATTAAAAGCAACGGGAAAATTAATACCTATATTCTTATAATTTAATAAATATTTTGTTGGACAGTTAATAAATTAAATAAATAACAAAACAAATAAATACTGTATATCGATATTCTGTGAAAAACTACGCCGTTCAGTAATAAACAATTCGTATTATATGCGCCTTGCAGTAAATAAATAGTTACCCATTTAAGCAATAACAATAATTATTTTGAAGTTAAAACTTTTTTTAAATATTTCACTTACGTCTTTACTAAGCTACATTTTTGGAAAGAATAATTTTCTTGCAATTTGGTAAGATTTTTATTGTTTTGATTTTTAATTTTTTAAGTAGAATATTTATCTCAATAGTTCGATACATAAATAAAGTAGTTAATTAGAAGTTATTATAACAATTTAAAATTTAAATGAATTGAGTTGATTTGTATAGGAGTACCAGTGAAATGTTGATTCACTAAAATCTTCATTTGATTTTTAAAATTTAAATACTTATAAGTCATAACTAATAAACTTCTTGTTAGAAATTCGTTTTTTATACATTTGTACAACGAGGTACTCCAAAAAAATATTTTGCTTCGAAATATGAAATTAAAAATACTAGTTGTTACTCAAAATGGTAAAAACTTTAAGAAAAATAATACAACACAAAAACATTTAACTTTTCAAAATAATAAGTGTATAAACTTTAATAAATTACCTTGTAGAATCGAATGGATAGTATACGTACTATGTTAAATTTCAATAGTAAACTGCACAAAAATAGTGAATCTGTTTTGTGATAATTCAGAAGATCCATCGATTACTGTGTACTCGAAAACCATTTTAATACTAATGACGTGGGTCTATACGTCTTCGGTACAGTATAATCACTATAATCGTTAGGTGGCACTTGTACAACACAAATATATTATTATAATCTTCGTGAATTTCTACTGACGTCGAAGTATATTTTGTAAACTATTAGTAAATGCGGTTTACGTTCGTCCGTTTCCACAATATATTTTGACGCTGTTTTGTATTATTATTCGGGAAGTTTTGAAATCGTATTACGTAGATTGCGACCATCACACACATGCACATATATCTGTATAATATTTTCATTATATAAAATATATATTTATGTGCATAAACCGTGTAATTACATATTGTGTGCTTGCATTTCAACGCAAGTGTATAATTGTATATTATATATATATCGCATATATGGTATACTGTATATCAATATCATACACCAATTATACATAGGTGTATAATGTGTAAGAAGTACGATAAGTATACTTTGCTTGGTAGTGTAATAACTGCATTGGAATTGGGGAAGCAATAATTTTATTGGCGATTTATCGTGGTACACGAATAACAGCATTGTACGACTGCGTCAATATATCTTTCAAAAGACTGTGGATAGAATAAAAAAAAAGTATTATTAAACACTATATTATAAAATTATGAAGGTTTTAAATTTATATTGTATTATAAATATATATACTTGTATATGTGGGTGTATATACATTTCCGATTTGTATTTGTCGTAAAACATCTGAACTAATTTTATTCACGGTCGTCTTGCAATAATGACGTGTTATAAGGACTTTAGCTGCATGTTAAATTGATTTTTTAGAATTTCATTGACATTTTGTGTTTTAATATATAATATTATCTCACAATATCTAACCTATATAAAAATTAAGGTTTAAGAGGGCTCAGAGTCAAGTAGAGTATTTTTTAAGGAAGTGAGATTTGGTTATGTTTCGTGAATATCTTTATATATTATAGATTTTAGTAAAAAAAATACTGAATTTTTATTTAAATAATTTAATATTGCTTGAAATTGCACTATACACTTTGTAAATGTTCGATATTTTGGTATAACATTAAAAATACATATTATATTATATTTTTAGATCTATAAAAGCTCATAATTTTAAAGAAAAATAAAAACAATTAATATTAATTATCATTGCTATTACGTTGACTTACAGCAGATTAACTTAAATTAGGCTAGGTACGACATTCGTTATTCATTTATCATTTACTTATTAAGTAATGGCTAATGACATATTTATTTATTTATGATAGCAGGGGCGTGTTAGGAAATGAATTTACCTATAACTATGTAAATCAACTACCTGTAACTATTTTTATTGAAAAATAGTATTTTATACTATTAATGTTCCATATGTTAGTCTTGTGAAGGTCGATAAAATAACACAGCTATTCAATATAGGTACGCTTTAACTGTAAAAGTAAAATTTTTTAACTTAAATAATCAATAAATTTCAAGGTTTATATGATTTTTCTTATGTTTAGTTTTATACAACAATTTAAATTAGAAATAATAAATTTTATAATTTTTTTCTAAAATATTTCTGTATATATAATATATTTTATGATATAGGAATTAATATTTAAGATATATTTAACACTAAATATAATAAACATTTCATAAGTTCTGATACACATCGATGATATCCTCGATTTTATATACGATTTTCAGTTGTTTGAAACTTGTTTTAAAATTTCAACTCTTAGATATTAAAATTAAACAATTTAATGAATTTATAATTACAATAAAATTATTATATTTTTGTAGTTAACTTCAATCTCCTCCCTCTAAAGTAAAAATTAAATCAAATTTTCTAAAATACAAAAAACATACACACACACACACACACATTGCTTTGCTCAGAATCTAAAACTCCCAAATTAATAATCTATATGCAATAATACATATAGATTCAATTCTTATCTACCTGTCCCATAAATAAGTAATTATATAGTGTTCCTTTTATTAAAAAATATGTATAATTTAAACATCAATAGGCAATGTAATTTATAATGCATAAATTCCAATATTTATAAATACTTACATAGTAATTTATACAAAATATATTTCTATCATGGAAACGTAATTTAAGTTAGTAAACCTGTTTAGATTTATTTTATTTATCCCCATTTAACCATATTATATTAAGTATGCGTGTAGCATGTATTTATAATGTATATTATATATATATACATATTATAGTTGATTACGTAAGCTATGAATAACGACGTTTATTGGTTCATCAACTCATTTGAGAAGAAATCGCTAATCATTTAATATTGTAGGTAATTGATTTATTAATATAATAATTTTTATTTATCAGAAAAGTAGAATTAGTCGTGTTAACAACAGTGTTAATTATAGATTTGTGTAAATATGGGTAAAGTAACATGATAATAAGCAATAACTAAATTATTTAAACATGTTAAAAAATGTTGGTTAATAACGTTATTATAAATAAATATAATTTCATTATGGTTCAAAAATTGTTTCAATTAGCTATAATCACCTACATAAAATATGAATTTTATTAGATGGGTTACTTACCTATATAATATATTTTAAATTGTGCAAGTACAGACAGTCTTTGTATTTTAATAATTTTATGTTCATAAATAATATTACATTTTTTTAATTACCTTTATGTTTTATTAATTATAAAATGATTGTATAATAATTAAAAGCAAAACAAAAAAATTCAACGCTACAAATTAAAATAATGATTGAATAGATCTAAATAATTTAATGAAGAAAATAATAATAATGATGAAGATAAGACATCGACAATTTAGGTAGGTAAGTTGAATCATGCAATATTACAACTCAGAAGATTTTATTACCTAAAGAAGACAGGTGAGAGAAAAGGTTGGTTCTATAGGTGGAAAAAATTTTCGATGAAAGAGAATGTATTCAAAATCATAGATAGCTTCTTCGGGATGAATATTAAACATTTGACTTTGTATAACACATTAAGTTATTACGGGTAAACGAATTTAATGAAATATAATTTGTATAACATGATAATATGTAATACAAAACTGTGATACCTTTTTATGTTATAAAAACATATATAATAGTAAATTTATAATTAATTTAATATTATTATTATTTATTACTAATGTAACGTAACTTAAGAAAAATAATTTTTTTTGTAAAAAGGTTTAAACTAATTTTAGTCTTTTTCAATTCATTTTAAAATCATTAAACATGGAGATCTATGTGCTGTATGTATATATAAAACCAGCTAATCTCATACACTAATTACCATTGACCGACATCACAATATAATATAATATACTTTCTTGATTGGATTTCAGATGGCTTAAATTATTAATCATGTATAATTTCACCTGTACGCTACTACTGACAGCAATACATATTATACCTAAATGTTAGATTATTTAACATTTTCAAGTTAACTAATGGATATACATCATCACAATTATTCTCTTTAGAGAACGACAATCAATTAAATCACTAATATTATGTTATATAACTATATAAACAATAATATAATCTTCTAATGAAATATATACGATCGGCTTTTCCGTACAACTCACAGTAGACTATACAAATTGTGAGTAATAAAAACCAGTGTTAATATTCGTTCTTTAATTTATGTAGTTGCTTTAAAAGGAGGTCTTAATTTTAACTTTAATTTTTTTTTTTTTTAATGTATAGCTGTGATCGAGCTTTAAAACTATTTAGGCAGTTAAAAATCGTATAGAAGTCTTAAATTGACACGTGCCGAATGAAGGTCAATGAACGCCAGTAATCGGACATTCAAAATAAAATTAATGTACGAATGGCTAGCTAGATAGATATGATGATGGTCACAACTTTGAAACCCTGCGGGCCAACCCGAGGTAATTATGACGAGAAGCTTAACTGGGAAAATTCGTATTCTGAACGAGCTGAATTAGTTGTCTTTTGAAGTATAAAACGAGTCAACAATATCGATTAGTCACAGTTACAAATGTAACAATACATTATTTCAAATATGTGTTAATGTTATATACGAATTTGAATAGACCTCATAATAATAAAAATATTATCTATAAGACACGTTGTGACCACCATGGCAAGACTTTATGCTAACTATAACTGCAGCTAAGGCCAAAAACCGGAGGGAGGTGCTTGCTTCTTAGTATCCTTGAGTTTTATACAAAACAAACCGCAATAGCAAGAGGTCAACAGACACTCCATAAGCAATGAGCAGTTTAGTTTAGGTGTCCGAGAGCATCGTGTACGGAAATCTCGATGAGGTGCCTAAAACTCATCACAATTCAAAGAGGGTCAATTTTATTTAAGATATACCAAACTATACTAGCTTAATACGCTACACAAGAAGATTTTTAATACATTTTTTCTGTTAAAACTTTTTATTAAATTAAAGTTTTTAATAAATAATGCATGTGTATTTTTTGTGTCCGGAATTTGATTAAATTATACTTCAAGTTTTAATTATTCAAAGTAAATTTAATTGTAAAAAATGACAAAAGTACAAATGCTTTTCTTAGAGTAATGAAGGTAAGACGATAATATTGCAAATATTTTTAAACATACAATTTTAAGTTATTTTGATTAAAATAAATTTTAAAATAATATATTTAATATTTAAACAATCTAAATAGATAACAGTTAGTATATTGAAATATTTATCAAAAAATTATTGTCTCGGGTACACTATGTCCTATTTTTAACACATTTTTTTATAAATGCGTTTATATTTCTAAGAATACATTTTTAAATGTTTGTTATAATTTTTTAACTAAGTAAATATTACAAACATAAATTCGTAGGAAAATACATCTAAATGCGCCAATAAATTGGATAGTATGAATTAATACATTTTAATAGTCAATATAAATATGTAAGCAGTTATAATATTGTATCAAAGAATTATTTTTAAACAAACAAATCAATTAAAAATAATTTAAATTATAAGTTTAAAAAAAAAAATAATATATAAAATGTAATTTAATTAGAGTTAATACATATACAATAATAGTACCTAAGAATAGATTGATTATATAAAAAAATGAAATAAAAATTTGATTTAGGCATATAGCATAAATAATAGATAAAATAAAATAGTTTATAAATTGAATCAGAATTTATACATTACTTATAAGGTATAAAGGCTTTCTGTGAATTATTCTTTTTAGAATATTACTTAATACAATTCATTGTTAAATGTTTTAGATTACATTAATTTTCATACTATTTTTTTTTGCTGCAATGTCGGCAAACTGCAGTGGGACGTTGATTATAGTTGACAAATTACGAAAAAAAGCACTGGAAATAACACTCAAAAGTCCTATTTGTCGAATTTATAATAACAGGTATAATATAATTATTGGAGAGTAGTGATAATACTATAATAATATTAAAAACAATAAATTCATAACAAACACTGATTTAAAAATAATTATAATTTCGATAAGTTTGGTGAATATCATATTGTTACTTAATAAAAATGTTACTAATAAAAAAAATTTTGTTTTTAAAAATAGATATTTTGTAATTATCAAAAAATACGATATTCATCATGATGATTTATTAAATTAAAATATCTGTAACACATATTATATACTCAAAAAGATACTAATCCTATATCCGGTAATTTTACGAATGAGCAATTACTAATTAATATTAATGGTTGTTGACCAAGAGTATAATACCTCATCAGGTGTAACTATTTTACGAGGACAAGATATGCATTTTCATTAGATTTGATCGTGATGAACAAGAACAATGTATTTCTATATTTGAGAGGGAGTAAAATATAAATAAATGTACAAAAAATGTAAAAACAACAATTTGACCAAGGATGTTTACATGTATATAGTAATACAGTTTAACAACAAGTATAATAATTAACAATTTATCTTTGGGTGAACTGCTCTTAATTTAAAAATTTTAAATTACAAATATTTCTTTGTTATGTATTATATCATTTTTTGTACTGTATGACATCTTATTTATTTTAATGTTTTGAATGTTAAAAATACTTCCTGTGTTTTTCTCTCAACACATAGAATACATCAATACTATTATGGTGCCTACACACATTTAATATATTTCACCATAGTTAAGTTGTTACAGACTAATTAACAAAAGTAAAATAATTATATGTATACATAACAATTGACGAATTAATTGACTATGCAAAATTTTATTTCTAGCAAACTAGCAACACCTACAATTACCAAACCTAAATATTAATAAGGCAACTTTTATTAAATTGCTTTAAATAGGAATTTATTATTGATAAATAATTTTATTAATAAGTTCCTATTAATTTAATGCTTTATAAAAATAACTATTCAAAAATTTACAGTAATTGAAAAAAAAATTAATACTTTTATATATGATTAGGAAATTGCTAAATTTAAAAAAAATTAATTGATGCCTTTGGTTCTATCTTTTTATTTCAAGAATATATAGTTTTAGTATATTATATTATAAACATAGAAAAATTGTATCAACAATTACATTAAAATTCGAAAAAAATATAATTAATAATTTTAATTTAAAATAAACAATTATATTTTGTCACCACATAATTTATATACCTAACAGACTAATAATTGTTTAATTGGGTTTTTTTATTTTTTAAGGCATAGTTTTTATAAACCAGTAAGAAAAACAAATCGTTAAGATCATTAATTATTTATGTTAGATATATATAACGTAAAATAATTTAGGTATAAATTTTATAATTAGAAAACTAAAATTAGCATTTTATATTTAAATAATTTTCAGTAATATTTAATGAATAATAAATATTTAAATAAACTAATAATTTAAGATAGTTATGCTATTTGATTGTATACAAAACACTATTTACCCAATACCCAAATATTACTTTTTATTTAATTAAAAAAAAAAATTGTTTGTATAAAAATAAAAATGATTTGTTTTCGTATTAATATTCTAACAGTGACTAACCTTAAAGAAGACATATCTGTCATGGAAAACACAATCATATGTAAAATATAATTACTGTACAATAGCCAAATTCTTAACATTTCATGCATGGTAGTTGCGGTTAATAAAATTCATTAGTTTTTAACTTTAAAAGTTTAGAACATATTTTTCTAATTTCGTTCAAGTTTATTTCCAATAATTCATATAATGAAAAAAACTAGGAAACTCGATATTATGCTGTATGTCTGTAATCTGTATATTTGGTTGCTGTACTCGTAAAGAAACTTGAGTAAAGTATTGAACACAGTAAAGTATGTTTTGAATTTGAATTCAATAATAAATCACTATACCTACGCAAAATACAATTTTGAGAAAAAGAAATGATGTGTCAGCATATACGTCTAAAGATATTTAGTATTATAATTAAATTAATCGTAATTTTTTTCGAAAACAATATTAATAAGTGTATGTTTTATAAATTATTATAAAATGGTATCTTATATTACTGTTATTAATTCATTTGTTGTTTGTTAATATACCGACGTACTATAGGGCGAAGGATAATAAATAGTGATAATAGCCAATTGGTTAGTAATATAAAAATATATACTTGGTCTAAATATTTTGAAAATTGCGATGTAACAGCGATAATTTAAGTAATAAAGGAATATTTCAAGTTTCTACAATTAATGTATTTTTAATTACAACAAAATAACAAAATATCGGTGGAAGACATAAGCACCAAAATTAGATAAGAAAAAATAAAATCGTATCGTACGTAAGTGCCAAAATCCTTGGTACCTGTGTGCCACGGTTAATAGATGTTAAATTATTATTTAAAATTTATTATTAAAATTACAAAGCGAAACATATTTATTTATGAACTCTCCTTCTGACAATAAATTAAGAGTATCTCACGAAAAAATAATTATACAATGGAAGAAATATCAAGATGGTGAAATAAATAGTTTAGAATATGTGAAAAAAGTAGGATTAAAAAATCAACCAATTTATTAAATTTATTATTGACATTTTTTATAAATTCTCAACTGATTTATTAAATTTATATTTATTTGCATGTATATCATAATTAATTAATGACAAATACAAAATTTTAATTTTGGCGCAAATTATTTGTAATTTTTGCACCTCTGGCGCTTATTTCACATGTTAGGTCATTTTTGTGCATTTGGCGCTTCTGTCATATAGCCCAAAATATGTAGACAAAAAAACGCTATTTTATACCTGAATGTTCAATTTATTAAAATTATGGTTTAAAAAGTTCGTATAAAAATAATAATGCTTTATGTTCGACTTTAAAATTTAAGTAAAAACAGTTTGTGAGGAATTGTGTAATACATTTTCAAGATTTAAGTTAATAGGTATTAACATCATTAATCTTTTCGACGGGGAAAGAAAAATGTAGTTGAAAATTTTTTCAAATATTTATAAGTAGGAAATTCAAAAAAATAGAATCAATTCAAAAAAATTATCATGTTAATAAGGGTATTCTTATATTAATAGTTGATGAAAATTTCAAGTGAATATGGTAATTTAATTTTAAAATGATACATCACTAAGCGTATTTTGTGATATAACTATATTAAAGTATTTTATTTTACTTTTAGCATTACAATAAGTTGAAATATTTTTTTTCGAATATATTGCAATTACTATATTATTATTTATCAGTATTTAATTATAATAATAATATATATATATACAATATTATATCCAGCTAAAAAACTCAACATTTAATAAAAATTTTCAATAAATAATATGTATCTTAAAATTAGTCAAAAACGTCATTGCATATAGTACAATTTATAACAATATAATAAAGGTAGTTTCCTAAAAAAAATATTTTTAAATTCAAACAAAATAAGTAAAATCATTATGTTTAAATAAGTAATTACGTTCAAATTAAAACTCTTTTATGGAAAATTATTATTTTTTTAATTTATAAGATTTTATGGTTACAATATGATGGACTACTTATAAAAATCTTGTATTACATTTTTTTAAACTTAGATATTAAAAGAAAAGTTTTTTATGAATTTCCAACTACAAAATAGACAGCAATTTTTTGGAATTTTGAAAAAATTTGTTCGAAATTCTAACTTAAAATTAGTTACACTAAAAACAAAACAGATTTGGTAAAAAATTAGAATAGCGTAAAAATCCCCGTATTCCTTAATTTTTTATTTGTTTTTTTCTGATTATAAAATGTATTCCTCCTCCCAACTAAAAAAAAAAATTAATAAATAAATAATACCAACTAGATTCAATTTGCTATTAGAAACCACTCCTATTTTTTAAAAATGAAAGTACTTTTATTGTCCAGAAGTATTTATAAACACAAAAAAACAAATGAAAAAAAACACATAATCGCGATTAATATATTTATTGTTCAGTTCAAAATTCAGAATTCGATAAAATTTAAAAATAATTGGTGCTGTGTAATTATTATTACCCGTTTTCAGATTATTTTGACTTTCCAAAGTTTCAAAGTATAAATTCAATTCAATTTAGTTTCAAAAAAACCATTTTTAATAAACAATATTGAAGATAAAAAAAATGTTTGCTAGTAAAAAACACATAATTTTGAAATTAATAAGTTAATAACTCCACTCAGAATCTAAAATATATATCAAGATGATACCTATTATATATGTTTAATAATATACTATCTCTATACACGATATACTGTGTGTGCTTGGGTAAACAAAGAAATATCTGAGGCTCTATTAGCACTTGGAAGATTTATCAAAATTAAAGTTTCAAGATATTATGTATTAATTATTTAAATTGACTAAATTACTTGAGGCTTTTAAGTTCTGTAATTTAAAAATTATTTAAATTACAGAACTTAAAAACTTTAACTTAATACTTTATGTATATGCAATAGTTTTCTTAATTTCTAATACCTATCTATAATTTTCATTAATTAAATTTTATAATTATTATGAATAATCTTTTCAATGAATAAATAATAACTATAAACTTCTTATCTATGTATTAGAATCTGAGCAGAGTAATAAATTTATAGATTTTACAATTGTGTGTATGTATTTTTTTCTGTGTCTATGTAGGTTAAGTTAGGTTAGCCTAAGGTTTTGGATAGAAAATGTAATCTAGTTCATACTTAACAATGCCAGTATTTTTTTTTTTATTATAGGCAAGAAAAACAAATAAAAAATTTAAAATATCATAAATGTTTATCCAATATTATTTTTAAAATAATTGTTTTGTAACCATGGTTACCAACATTTAAATGGTCTTCACTTAGAATCATTTTTCTTAACGAAATTCATTACAATGATTTACTCAATAACGAGTTCCATTCTGCATCTAATGTACAGCAGAGAGGGTAGGTAATCGCGAGAGGGTACTACTTGCTTTCATTTTTTAAGTTATTTAGAATAATTTAAATTATTTTTAGAATTATGTAATTTATATAATAATAATGTAATGAGTGGGTTATTCAAATTTTATTAATTATAGGAATGAGATACAAGTACTTTTAAAAACGAATCCTCTATTTATTTATGAATCAATGTATGTTGAATCAGTAGAGTTGTTCTATAAAATATGTCAAGGTACACAGCGAGGCCCATGTCAAAATATTGAATTCATATATCCAGGTAAGAATAATGCAAAGAATAAAGTGACATTAATGTTGAAGAAACCAGAAAAATAATACTTATATTTAATAGGAACAAAATGGTGTGGACCAGGTAATATTGCCAAAAATTATTCAGACCTGGGAGTTTATCGTGATGAAGATATTTGCTGTCGAGAACATGATCATTGTACCAGAACTTTAGAAACTGGCCAATGTTATTTTAATCTTTGTAATACTTCTCCTTATACTAGGTAAGTTAGATTATTTTACATATTCTAATATCTTACTACACTAAAATTTATTTAAAATAAAAAATAACTTTGATCTTTTTTAAATTATAAGTGTAGCAAATATTTATTTATTTTTTTATTTTTGTACCAGAAAAAACTTTTTCTAATAGAAAAAATTCTCTGATTGTCAACTTTAATGGAGGTTTATCGTAGCAAATTGGATCTAGTTGTTACTTTTGAAAGGTCAAAATTGAAAAATTTCAGTATTTTTTTTTAAATAATTAGAAAAAAAAATCATTGAAATTTTAATTTTATTAATTAAAATAATCATTTGGTAGATTCAATAGATTTTATAAATAAAAAAATAAAAATACTAATATAAAAAAAAAATTTGTTTACATTTCAGATCTCATTGCGAATGTGATGGAAAATTTCAGCAATGTTTGAACAAAGTTAATACATCTACTGCTCACACATTGGGTGTCATATTTTTTAATATAGTAAAAGTTATGTGCTTTAAAGAAGAATGTCTGTTTGGGTAAGATAAGAAAACAAAAAATATTGTAACTAAAAATGTATAATATTTAAATTGTTTAAATTATATTTTAAGGATATGTATTCAAAAGTTTGAAATAATACCAAATTATCATCAACAAGGGAGAAGTATGGATATCCTGACCACAGATCACCTATTCAATATTTTTACAAAAATTGTAATGGATTTTGTGCGTTATGCATTAAAATAAATGTATTAAGTTTTTAAATGTTTTACTATACTGGTCACTGACTATTTTATTTATATTAATTCATTATACAATATATATGTCATTAAACATAATAATAGTTTTGAATAATAAAGATATCTACTATTGTTAACAACCAATAAAAATTAATGATAAATGACACATATTATAAATTATTTTTAAAATTTTTCGCATATTAAAATAAATCCAAATAATCTTGAAAACATAAAAGGATCTGTTCCTGTCAAATTTTAAGTGGATAGATGTTTAGTAGAGTTTCAATTTTTATTTATTTAATAAAAAGTTCAATTACTTGTAATTTTTATTTAAACAAGACAAAACATTTATTAGTTTGTTTAAAAAATTAAATTATGAAAATATGATTTTAATTTTTAAGATATTGTACTTGAAATTTACCATGTAGATTCTATCAACGTACGAATTTTAACAAATTAGTGTAAAACTGTAGAATGTCATCATGTATGTTTCGGTTAGTGTAACCGCGCAAAATCATAATAAGTTAACAGCACAACAAAAATACCTCAAGAAATAATAGAAAATAGAAAATCTTTTAGTTTTGAATTAAATATTGCACTACCGTATATTATGTATATTTTAAATTCTTAACTAATGATCCGAACGACCCGTGGACTGATCTTCGTGAAGGACAGGCAGGCCATACCATGATTTACGAGTAACGTTTGTTCTAATCGTAGCATATTTTTTCCCATGCTTATTTATTATAATCGATAAATACATCTATGTACATTAGTCAACAGATTGATGACAGCGATGCACTTTTAGTTGCATATCCATAATGTGGTATGATCATCAAATCATCATTGTATGATTAATATTCTATACCAAGATAAATGCAAGCAATTTTAAGGAGTTTTGTATAGGCAATTTTAATGACATTCAAGAAAAATTTAAATATAAGTCCTATTTAAAATTAATTTACAAGACTACAAAAGTTTTTATACCTATAAGATAACTGGGACCTTTTCCGTTAATTCACTACCACCCTTTTTTTTTTGGTTTTTCCGTGTTTTTTAGATTATTATATATCATTATTATTTTGATTTTGTGGGCATGAAGTGTGTAATATTTTGTCCTCTTATTCTTGTATAAAAAAAAAAAACAAAACAAAACAAGTAAAAATACTTTTTTAAAAATTAAATATTTTGCAAAATTATACACATGATAGTGTGGTAAAACATAAATGACAGCTGTGCTGATTAGGTAATTATTTTACGTTTAAATCTTTAATAAGTAATTAAGACTGTCTACATAATATTAATTGAATATATATTTTGTGTTTACATGTGGTGATAAAAAGATGACACCAAATATGTTTAAAACTTGAACAATAATGTATACAAATTAACAAGTTTTAATGAAATGTATGATTAGTGATTACTATGTGGGAACATCATGAAATTTAAATTTTAGTTATAATAGCGCTAGTTCACTAAAGGCTTATTTATTCAGATCACCTTAAAAGCCTATTGTGAACAGTACACACTCTTTGGAATACTTTTTATGTATTTATCAAGTATTAAAATATACTTAAATTTTTATGGCTTCATGTATTTAATAAATAATCACAAACAACATTAATTTTCTTAAATTTTCATTTGTTACAATTTATACTTACATGTTTTCAAAATGAAACTTGAATTTGCAATTTAAATTATCGACAATAATCATTTCTTCCCAAATTCAATAATTAATGGCTTTTCCTCGAGTATAAGTCCAAGATTTTCTTCTAATGCTTTTTCTGCCACTTCAATGTCTAAATATTTTCAGTCAATTAAAAGTTTATTTTGCACAATTATTTATTAAATATTTTTTATTTCAATAGAGAAAATATTTCAAGTTCCACAACTTAATTCTAAACTTCATGATTATTTAATGAGTTATTTTAATTAAATTTATAATTATAAGTAAACTTATAAAAGTAAATATTTATAAAAATAATTATTACTTTCAAATTCAATAAAAGCTTGTCCTTTCATTTTTCCTTTTTTCATATATCTATAAACTATGTCTGAATTTTGCAATTGTTTGTACTTTCCAAAAACAGATATCAATTGTTTTTCACAAACACTTTTGGCAATATTTTTCACATACAATATCTAGAAAAAATAATTTAAATATAAAATAAACAATCTTAAACATACCACTGATAGTCTAACATAACAATTTTAATATTCACTTTTGATGGGATTCCTTTTTGATAGTTTTGAAAATAAGATAAAGTTTTTAGTTTATCTTTACTCATTTTAGTATAATTATTTATAGGAACTTGAGTGCAATTAGCAACAAAACGCTGGCCATTGATAGAACTTGAAAAATTGTTAACTTTATTTTCTTCATTTGCTATTTCTAATACACCAATACACTGTTCTGTACGTTTTGATGCTTCACACGTATATAATTTTAAGTCAGAGTTTGATGTACAATCTTTTAAATCCCAAAGAGATTTAGGATTAGAATAATGTTTTATTGGTTTTTCGGGTATCTGAAATAAAAATATAATTATAATATATAATACAATACAATAATATATTAATTGTAATTGTTTTGTTATGATTATTTACAATTTATTTTTTAGCTTATGACATAGGTTTATGTTAATTATAGATGATAAAAATTAATAATATCTAATTTTAATAGAAATTAAGTTTTAATGAAGTTAATAATTGATATAAATCACCTCGATTGGTTTTTTATAAGATTGAAGAAGTTGTTTTCGTTTTCTTCTAATCATTTTTGAAGTTTTAATTGGTGAAGCATTGAGATGAGAAAACTGTTCATCATGTATTTGATCAAGATGATTGATTGGATGATCAATAGGAAGTATATTGTTTAGTTTAGGAATTTCATTTGCTTCACATGATAAAGCAAATGCTAAAAGTTTAGTTTCGGTACTATTAGGTTTTACGCATAATGCTAATTCTCGTTCATGACGACTCAAACAACTAAAAAATAAGATAAAATTAAATAAAAAAATTAGTTGAAGATTAAAATATAATAGAAATAATTCTTATTACTCTGAAACTTTTACAGAAGGTTTTTGATTAGTATTAGAATTTAATTGATTAGAAGATGCTTCGTTGACTTTAGTACAAAACTCAGGCAATGCGATTTCTCCTTTAGTGATTTCGGTGATAGAAATGTATTCATGACTGGTAATAAAATCACGCTCTTGACTCAAGTGCCTGAAAATAAAAATTTTATTTAAATTTTACCAAACTATTTTTATGTTGTTTAATATCACGAGGAAAAAGAAAAGTATAAATAATAATTGTAATTATTTCAATTTATAACATATATTACTTTTCAAGAGTTAAATGTTTATCAGTTTGTTTCAAAGATAATTTTTTTATCAACAAATCGCCTTCAGATTCAACATGGCTTTCAAGACGTTCAAAATCAGTTAAATTCAAGTATTTGGTAGAATGTTTTTCATTATTTTTTTTTACTGCAGTCATATTGATTTTCAACTAAAAGTTTAAATAAATAAAGTAATATAATTTAATCAAAGAATTTATATTGAATAAACAAATATATAATTATTTTTTAGGTATCAGAAAACTAATATATAAGATACTTACAGTTACAGTATATGTGACATTTAATGATTTAAATAGTAAATTTAAAAAATAGTCTAAAAATCAAAATAAATGATTTTTATTAATTTGACAATATTTATTTTATGAGCCTAACTGATAAAATGATAAACATGAAATAGATAACTGATAAAATGATAAACATGAAGTAGATAATAATTAAATGAAATACCGTGGTTAAAAAATATAAAAATAAATTCAAAGATATTATTAATTAGTTTATCATTATTAGATGCCTGATAAGCGAAAACTTAGTTCATGTTTTATCAGTTAACAACACCAAATAAAATATAAAAATAATGTGCGATTTTAATAACTTCTTACAATAAATGATTTTTTAAATCTAATATTTTCAATATTGTGTATTACAAACATGCTAACTCTGCGTACAGCTAGCCGTGTTCTAAGAGCTTTGAAAACCACCCAAAGTAAGTTAATTCAATGTTAACAAATAAATTTCACTCTTAGGTATTTTTAAATTTTGAAGTATCACCAAATTATTCAATGAACTTATTTATACTTTATTCAATTTAAATAAGAATTGTTGTTCAATTACTATAATATTACAATCCATAATAATGATCATTTATCAGGATTTGTGTTTGAATCCTAGTAGAATACTTTAGTATCGGTTAGTTTTTATTAACTTAATTAATTTTTATCTTTCTTCTTCAATATCTATTGATTCTATGTTATAAAAATGAATGTTATTTTTAAATTACAATCATTCAATTATATTTATACAGTTAAATTTTCCTAATAATTTGTTTTAAGATAAAGTAATATATAAGTATATATATTTATATTTTTTTTTTTTTTTTTGAGTAGTATGCGAACAACCATTTCATAGATGGTTAGCTCCAACATTGAGAGAATTGAAGCGCAGAAAAAATAATTTAGATCCTGAGAAACCAGTTCACCGTAAAACATTCCTTGAGTGGTAAGAATAAATATTTTAGTTATTAACTTTAATAGCAATAAGTATTTCCATTAATTTATTATTGATATTTTATTTTTTTATTTTTATCAAGGAATTATGATACTGAGATATATGCATTTAGTAAGCGTTTAGGCGAAGAGTTCAATAATGATTTACTACAACAAGCATTAACTGAACGTTCATATATTATTCGTGAAGAAGAAAGACAAAAGAATGTTGGTATAGAGCAACCTACTTTAAATTTATTTGATAATAAAGAATTAGTTTCCAAAGGTTCAGATTTTATTGATGATGTAATTAAACGTTATTTGCGTACGGTTTTACCTAGATTACCAGAAGAAGGAATCATGTATGTATATTGAATGCTACAAAAAGTATTTGTGTCTTTTTGTTGGGATTAAACAGTCTTATCAATATTTTTTCTTTGCTATTTCAGAGGAATTCACAAGTATTTAACAAGTATTGAAACACTGTCTCATGTTTCATTCCATATTGGTACATCTGAATTGATTCTTTGTGCTGTTAGTATAATATGTGAATATCAATTTGTAAACCAAAATATTTTAAATATATAATTGATAATCATTTTATATATAGGAATTTCCTGTGGAAAAACTTACTTTGTCTAATGTACTGAAAGCAATTACAGCTGCATTGGTTGAAAGCTCTGGTGATAGTCGAGCTGCATTATTTGTACGTGATTTTATTATTACACAAATAGCTGATAAAGACTTGCATCAATTTTGGGAACCTGAAGAACCTATCAAATTGCTATCAGAAATCTTAGCAAGAGATGATATTCAGTCTCCTGAACCCAGACTTATTGGATGCTCTGGAAAGAATACAATATTGGCTTGCTTTAGAGTAGGATTATATACTCCACATAATAAACAAATGATTGGACTAGGTAAGTTTTCAATTTTAATTGAACATTATTAATTAAGTTACCTACTTAAAAATTGTTTTAATTCTTTAATGTTTTCTTGGAAATAGGTTTTGGAGAAACTGTAGATATTGCACACGAAATGGCAGCAAGAGATAGTTTGCGGCAATTATTTGGCACTTCAGATAATATTTTACTTCCGTTTAATCTTAAATTAGATCAGTTGTGTGCAAGTACTGTCAAGAATGTATCTGTAAATGAATGGTCACAAAAAATTCTACCAACTCGTCCAGTGCATTATGAATTTCGTAAAGCCAAAGAACTAAGTAGTAATTAAATATTTTTACATCAAGTTAGATTTTATAATCATCTTTGTAATTTAAGTTTCATGATATGAATAAATCAAATTTAAAAAAAAATTAAATAGTTAAAATTTATTATTTTTTTTATCAAAAAAAAAGTATAGTAACAAAAATACATGAAATTGTAATATTATGTAATGTGGGTTATTAATAAATATTATAATATTAATATTTTTATTTGTGTAAAAATAAAAACTGAATGTCTGAGTTTTTACATACCTATTGGAATGTTATTATAACATTTTTATTGTAATATGATTTTAATGCGAGTTATGATCATTTTAAAGCATTAATATTTTACACAGCAATATCTGTTTAAAATGAAAGTACAGTAGAATCTCGATAATCCGATACGTCCAGTAATCCGGTTGTATTAACCTTTATGTACTAATATTTATGTATATATAAATTTACTATCGTAAACGATAAACCATTAGATAAAACTAAGTAATAACAGATCTAATCCTAAAAAACAAAAAGAAAACTGCTCTCAACCTAAAAGATTTTTAAATCATTTTTTAATACAATTAAAAATGTAAAATTCAATAAGTAAAAATGGGTTTTTTTGTGAACTCTCCACTAATCTGGCGTTTTTGTTAATCCGGCAGTAGCGTAGTCTGATATGTGTCGGATTACCGAGATTCTACTGTATCATCAAAAACCTATAATATTCTTACTTTTAAATTTGATAACAGGTAACTGATTTCAATATTAAAGCTAACAGCATAAAATCAATTTTGCTAAACGTAAATATTCTTTGTAATGTATTTGACATAACTAAAACATGCGTTGAGGCATATTATTAAGATAATTATTTATTAGCGTGAACATATTGAAAAATATTTTATTTTATAAACACACTTTGACTATGATATTTTTAAGTAATTAAAAGTTTATTAGAGTACAAAATTATATCGCATCCCACAGGTTGATTCACCAACCATGCATCAATTTTTTTCTTAAATTATTTATTTACTCAAATTCTGATACTTAAAATTCATAAGTATAATAACACCATATTTTTAATTACAATAATTACATGGCTATTTTTTTAAAGATTGTACAGTATTAATAAAAAACATTTTCATTCAAATGAAAACTATCTTAATAGGTAGGTAATGGTATGCAACAACAGATTTGCATTCAGTAGAACAAATTTTGTGTTTTAATTTTAATACCAGAGTTATTATTATCAAACTTTAAGTTAGGTACATTATCTTAGTATGAACACCAAATTTTTCTTTTAAATTTAAATTTTAAGGTTTTAACTTGTTTAAAAACTTAATGTCATAAAAAAAAACTTTCTAAGCAGTAAACATAGATATTGTTGTCACTTTAAAGTTGACTGGTAGGATTTACTCAACAATCCGAAAGGTTTTGCTGAACTCTAATTTTCACAAGTTGTAAGTTTCTAAAAGAGAAACATTACATAGGTAATGTAAGTATCCTCTTTTAAGTAAATCATTTTTTTAAATTTTGATATTTTTTATAAATTTAAATTTAATTGAGTATTTTTTTACTTATTAAAGATAATAGTCAATAATATAGAAGTCTACAATTATACCTAATAATTAATTTAAATTTTTAAAAATTGTCTAAAAATAATAAGAATTTGACTAAGAATAATTTATATTTCATGTAAAACTATTAAGGAAAAAGGGTAATTCTTATTTCATACTACATAAAATGTAGGTGAATAATAATACAGAAATTATTAGTTTAAACTTCAGATGTATCAAAATTTTCAAATATGTAGTTCAATATCATCACACAATTAATAGTATATAACAAACAAGTGTGGTTTTTAATGTTGCATAGCGTGGGAAGACTGGGAAGTAATTTTAACACAATTACCCTCCCACTACTACATGTAACATGTTAATGGTTCATAAGAGAAATATAACCAAATAAGAACGATTCTCATTTAATTAAGAAGTTTATATTGTCACATGAGTCGATAGGGTACTTCTAGAATAGGATTAAAAATCTGAGTATCTAAACATATTATGATGAATAAATATAGTAAAAATTTAAAAAATCATAATTTAAATAGAATATACAGTAATTTTATTATTACTAGAAGTCTGGAAATGTATAAACATAATGAATATGCTCGGGAGATCTTCCTACATATTTTAACGATACAATAGATGTTAGTGTTCAAACTTTTTTTTAATTGATTTCAAATATCCAAATTATTGATAAATTAGCTAAAACTTCTCCTCAACACCGCTGCTAAAGTTTGAGTCGCGTTCAATCAACATAATTATTACCTATGTAATTTGTAAATCTGTTTTTAAGAGGTGTAAGAACAGGAACCTATGAAAATATAATGGTTTGCCGTATATATGAATCGTCGCACAATATTATTATATACTATCTATTTATATAATCCTAAAAATTGTACACTTTTTATATCTTCTATGGCCAATGGACTGCCTATGTAAGTGCCAAGTGGTTGTGTTGTACGCGATCTTGGGTCTGTCATCAACCGGCAATAATATCATTTCACACGCGATAATGCATTGTAGGTTTTCATTATATTTATTAGTATTATTTATTATTATACGTTCTATACGGCCTGTGTCAACAAATCAAGTCAATGTTTATTCTGCGTTTGTCATCAACGGTCGTCACAAGCCTATTCTATAAGCGCGTTCGGGTATAAGGGTGCAAT